CATGCCGTTAGCACTAGCTTCTTTTCCTGGAAGGCATCCTCAATTTCTTGTGAAAGGTAAGTTGTCTGGTCTTCTGTGGAGTAGCACTGTCTAAATCCTGCCTGCTGCGGCGTGAAAATGTTTTCACTTTCCAAGTACCATTGGAGTCTAAGGTTGACAATACGTTCCATTGTTTTGCAGAGGCAGCTGGTAAGACTGATCGGTCTATAGCTGGAGGCATCAGAACTGTCCTTTCCTGGTTTAAGCAGAGGTATTGTGATTGCTTCTCTCCATATTTGAGGAACTTTGCCACTGGTCCAACAATGATTAAAGATCTGTAGCAGCTTTATTTTGGCAGTTGTTCCAAGGTTCTTGATCATTTCGTTGGTGATTCCATCAGTTCCAGGTGATTTTCTCATTCTCAGCTTTGATATTGCTAATTCTAACTCGCTGGATGTAAATGCTGCCACCAGTGCCTCAGGAATTATATCTTTTTGTCTTGTATGTTGTTTGTTTTCTTGAACCTCTCGCTGTTTCTCTGGGCTGACATTAATGTTGCTGTCTTCTGCAAAGGAATCTGCAAAGTGGTCAGCTGCCTGTTTTTCTTGTTAGGATGGCTCCCTCTTTGCACAGTGCAATATAACCATTTCTCCCTGTATTCTCATCATTAATTTGCTTAATTAACCTCCACAACTTCCTTGTGTCTCTTTCAAAGTTTAGGGACTTTGTCTTTTCCTGCCAGCTTCTCCGTCTAGCCTGCAGTTTGGCTCTTTGAAATTTGGCCTTTGAATGTTGGTAGTTGTTAAACTGCTCTTGACAAGGTCTGGTCTCAGCCTGTTTTCTTTCTGTTTCCATATTGTTGTGCAGTTGCTCCAGATCGCAATTCCAGTACGGTTTGTATTGTTTACGCACACCTCTTGGAACTGCTTCTAGGGCTGCCTGCAGTATGTGTTTACTCAACTCTTGGACTACTTTTTCTACGTCATTATCTGTGTTAAGATTTTCCAGCACAACATTTGTGCGAAGCTGATATAACTTCCAGTCTGCCTTCTTAAAATTCCACCTTGGCAGTGTGCTGCTCTCTCTTACAGACTGGCTTTCGATAGTTAGAAAGACTGGCCGGTGGTCACTGCCTCCCAGTTGCTTCCCAACAGTTCTGGTAACATTCAGCTCCATGTTTGCTGAGTGAAAGGCTAGGTCTGGTGTCGAGGTGGTATGCCATGCTCTAGAGTAGAAGGTTGGTGGGTCGGTTGGCTTATTTACGAGGATGAGCCTATTTTCATCCTGCCAGTCCTCTAGTTTCTCTCCTCTCTGATCCATATGATCATAGCCCCAACTTTGGGAATGGCTATTAAAATCCCCACAAATGATCATTTTTTCATTTATTAGTACAGTATCCAGTGCCTGAGGGCGGTCGCTCGGACAGTAATAGTTGGTCAGATGTAAATCTGTATTTTCTAACTTGAGCTCAAGAGTTTGATACTCAGCACCTTCCATGTATGTTTCAATCCGGCCCGCAAGGATGTTATTTTTGACCAGGGTAAGGATTCCACCTTTTCTCCTGTCTTTGCGGTCAGATCGGAAACACTGGTAGCCTCTGATCTTAAAGGCCATATCTTGTTTGAGATACGTCTCTTGTAGGCAGCATACATGTATCTTCTCTTCGTTCAAGACGTTTTCTAATTCTAATTTCTTGGTATGTACTCCCTCCGCGTTCCAGTGCATTATTTTAAAGCTAGCTGTATTTTCTGCTTTTCTGGTTCTACGGGGCATGAGGGGGAGGCTTCGAGTATTTGAAGCTGGACTCTTTCTTCTTGTCGTAGGCCGGTAAATCGAACTACGTGTACGTGAGTGGGTCTCATGGTGGAAATCAAACTTATTAGCAGATATAGAAATATTCCCTGTTGCGTTTGTGCGTGGCATCCTGATTGCTGTGGTGCGCCTCCTGGCTGGTTGCCTCCGACTTCAGCACCTTGTTTTGCTAGAGTAGACTGGGGTCTTACCCGTGGACTCCCATGTTTATAATGGGAGCGTGGCTCCTACGCGGTTACATTATCGGAATTAGGACACGGCCGCCGCCGTGGCTATTTTGTGGAAATAATTCCGTTATAACACCCCTAAACCACATAATGCTTGTATCCACGAACAAGAAAATATCCATCGTCAATGAATTAGTAATAATCGCACTCTGTTATCAAGAGAAAAACACCGATTAAGTGAAAATTTTAGAATAAAATCGTGTGTCGCCGCAAACACGTCCTCACCCTGCCATTTCTAAACCGGAAGTCCCCTGATTATGCTGATGTTTATGTTAATTTTTATGAAATATCGTTGTTTCTTGTTAGTGCTCTACCTGACTATGCTGATGTTTATGTTAATTTTTATGAAATATCGTTGTTTCTTGTTAGTGCTCTACCTGATTATGCTGATGTTTATGTTAATTTTTATGAAATATCGTTGTTTCTTGTTAGTGCTCCACCTGATTATGCTGATGTTTATGTTAATTTTTATGAAATATCCTTTGGCTGGTGTTTATTTTGTTTTACAAACTCTGCAAATCAACACAGCCCTGCATGATTATTGACTGCAGACTTGAATTTCTTTCATTGTTAATGTCAAAGCTGAATGTTTTGTTATTTCATTTTATCCACTGTGTGATTTGGATAATTGTTTTCTCCATTTGGATCGTCTGCTAGGCATGCATAATTGTCATGCTCTGGAATGTTGCCTGCATTTTATTGACATTAAGAGCATCATTTGTCACACAGATGGCCCCAGGAGGGTCACTGTGCTGTATTTTTCTTTATGGCTTGACTAATGATCTAACATAGTGGTCAGTTTCTAATAGGACAACACTCTAATGGCAAGGATTGAAACATACTCCCAGTAGTAGATAATAAAATGTTGAATTGTCCTGATGGTGAAGATATCAGGAATTAGATACATGGAAATGAGACTAGTAAATGTACTTGTCTTTGACTGCATGGTTTGCTTGTTAATTATGTTTGAACAAAGAAGTTACAAACAACAGTGTGCACAATTTGTTGCCTGACATATTTCACTGTTATCTCGCCAGATGTGCATATTACAGTAATAGTTAATCATGTTGATACAAAAACAAGGCTGGGTCTTATATTATTGCTTAATAAAATGCCCTGAGGCTTATTTTTTGGGGATACCTTGTTTTTTTTTTTTTTGTGTCAAATACAAAATTCTACATTTTTTCAGGCACAAATTTTTACATGTATTTATATACAGTCATATTTTCTTCGTCTGGAACATCGTCATAACTTTCCAAATCATAAATTCCAGCATGAATTTCTTACGATTCCATTTCCTATAGAACTATTGACCCCAGTCTCTCATTTCCAGCAATAAAGCTTTCTTTAAATGAGCATGTAAAGCAACAAGACATTGGTGGTGCCAAAATTCTGCTTCTTTATTTAACATGAGTGGCGTACATGAATTATGAACCACATCCATTCATTATCAAGTGTGTACCATTGGCGCCTGAACTTTGACTGGCCATCCGGCAGCAAGCCTCTCATTCTAGCCGATGATCTTAACTAGGGTTTATTTTTCGGTAGGTCTTATATTTGGGTAGGGCTTATAGTGAAAGCATCCTGAAAAATCATGCTAGATCCCATTTTTTGGGTGTAGTTTCTCTCTCTCTCCAGGTAACACAGTAAATAAGGTGATGCAAAAACAAAATTAGTAATTTTAACTGACATACAGAAGTGCACCACACTTAAATGTGACTGTCTGATTTACCGGGGTAAACAGTAGTTCACAACCATGTCTTTTTGTGCACACAAAAGTGGGTCATCGCTGTTTCTAAAGACAGTTTCAGAGAACTAGAGCAACCTCAAATGATACATTGTAAAAAGAATTCAGAATATGTTGAAATACATGCCGGGCAATAAATCAGGCTGTTTGTTTGTGTGTCTTCTTTGTTCATATTTGCAACACAGAATCATTACTTTCATTACCTATGTGTTGCTGATGACACCATAAATGGTCCTGTTCTCTCATTAAGAATGATTTTACTTTAAAACTACATAGTAATTTTATTTGGCAAATGCTAACAATCAGCACATCAGCATTTCATGTTAGAGTGTTTTTATTTTTATTTTAAATATGTGCTCCTGTGTTTTAAAATGATTAAAATTGCTCATATGTTTGCATGATAGAGATTAAAGTCTGCAAGTAATGTCACTAATATAATAACATTAATGTTTAAAATGGAAAAATCAAAGTCGGTCTTAAATGGCATACAAATCTGGTCCACAAATAATTAATTTCATTCCTGAGCCTCCACCCTCTTTCACATGGTCAATCCCTAATTGTAGCTTGCTCTTCACATTCCTTAATTTTGTTATTTTATGTTCTATACCTTATTCCCCACCCACCACCCCCTAACCACCACCACCTATTCCATTTTACGTTTTATCATATATCAGATGCATTAAAAAAAAAAAATATTTTTTAACTGTTTGAATTATAAGAAATTAACAGATAAATTCATTTACTTTAAGCTGTTCAAATCATTTTGTTTAAAAAAAAATTATTTCTGAAGAAAAATTTGTTCATAATAATGGCAAAATGTGTCTGCAAATTAAAATTTGTGAGAGGAATATTTAGTGAGCGTATTGTAAGTTTATACTTTGAAGTCCATAAGTGAGCAGACACTGAAAAAAAATACAGATTTATAAACATGTCAGAGAACTGATTCTAGTTTCTGCTCTGATACTTACTGACAATTTCACATTGTTGTTGGACAGGATTCATTGATAGTCACTTGCTGGTGGTTAACATTTTTGACTGAACATTTCATAAGTTCTTTGCCATTTCTTTTGCTGATTAGGTTTTCTCAGTTTTTTTTTTTTTTTCCTTCTATTTCAACCATTATCAAACCTTCTTTGCTGTCTCTGTGAGTTAAATTTTCTGTCACATGTTACACTTTCCTGTTTCCACGTCACTTTCTGAAAGAAGATTTATACTGATTATATTGTTTCTTACAGCTACAGCCTAACAGTGCGTCAGGTTCCGGAACGTTAGAACATGACAGTCAGTCGCTTTTCCTTAGATGCCCACCAGTAAGTACAAAGTCTGCCCAAAACAGATGGAATTAAATGGTATGATGGAATCATCATTGTGTAGCTTATAGAGCAAACTGTACTGTTCACGCAGTACATATGCTACAATTGGAAGAATACAGAGAAGATGGCATGGCCCCTACAGGCAGATTTGTGAAGCGTTCCATAGAGCAAACTGTACTGTTCACGCAGTACATATGCTACAATTGGAAGGGTTAGGCATCACCTGAGCACATTTTGCAGGCCTGCCTGCTATACTTACAACTACAAAGAGAAATATTGCCTCAAGAGCAAAATGTGCAGAGCAAGCTCTGGGGAACCATGGAAGACCTGCAACTAACAGGCAGATTAGTAGAGACAGCCCACCTGACGATCTGACCTAAGCATATGAAACTGAACACAAAGAAGAAGAAACCCACAAGAGGAAAGGAATAGTGAGACCTAAAAGCTCACAAGGAATAGATACAGATGAAGAGGACATGAAAGGAGCTTCAGGAGGCAGCAAAGATTGAGGGACTGCAAATGAATTCATTAAGGACCTGATTTTTTAAAAGATTTAAAAATAAAAAAAAGGGAACATAAATTTGGCAGCTTTGTCTTCTACTGGTATCTTAGAAGGGCCGATGTTTAATAATATGTTTTATCATGAAATTTGCAGCATCAGTGGTTAGACTGCAAGATTAATATTGAAGATGTGTGTAATCAGGAAAGACCAAAATGATATTGGAATTGGAGAGGTTGTTGGGCGTCTGCTGAGAAGCTGATATGAATTATTGTTTCAGTTTTTCTGCTGTGTCTGGAGCTCAGTGATTATCATTTCAGCTGTATCCCTTGTAAGGTTATTCACATTTTGAAGTATAATAAAGGTGTCTGGAAAGCAGTGAAGTCAACAGATAACCAATGAGCTGTATCAGATATAGATAATCCACATTCCATCTATAACAAAAGATTGACACAACATGTGACAGAAGGCTGTCGATAAACCTAGTTACCAATACCACATATTGTGGACAAGAAGAAGAATTTGAACTGATCTGAACTGAACAAAGTTCTTAATTAAGAAATTTAGTTTATAGGTCACATGTTTGTTTATGTATGAATGAGTAAACAAACCACCTAGTATCTGTAGTCGGGGACCCTAACAGCTGAACAGGGTTTCTGGGACTTGTGCCCAGGGTATTCTCATCCGAATGGTGGCACTTTGAGTGTTTATCGCTTGTGCTGTCCTGGTGGAGTTGAACATCCCTCACTCACTCCCTCACTGTCTGTGTTATTATGCCTCATCGACATGTTAACATAATATCATTCGAGGCCAGTATCTTTTTGACCAAACAGTATTCGTTGCCTAATGTGGGCATATAGACATGGCAAGAAAGAGCAGAGATGAAGTTCATTAGTTAATTGTTATTTATCATTTGTACTCTCAGAATGAGCCTATACCTGGACCATTACCCCTTGGAGTGGCAGTCATCGACAGCTCTGTGAAGCTTTATGGAGTCATCTTTCCTCACGTTGCACACAAGCACCGCTACCAGATGCTGCAGCATTTTAACGAATGTATTCATCAGGCAAAGGGCTCTCGGCAGCAGGCAGTACAGATGAATGTGTTTACTGCAGTGCTTTGTGCTCTCAAGGTTAGATTCATTGATTCATTATCATGTAAACATTTAAATGCTTCCATCTTAAATTGTTATGAATGCAATAGGATATTTGGCTACTGCTGAGACTAAGCTTGAGAGAACTTATTGAAGAATATTTATTGCTGATTTAATTCTGGTGTGCACTGTAAGTGGATCTGATGTGCACTGTAAGTGGATATAATGTGCACTGTGAGTGGATCTGATGTGCACATGAGTTTCTCATTAAAGTGGGGATAATAATATTTATTTGTGAGTTTTTGTAACTTTAACAATTTTGCCAGTGTTTCAGAAATCCCATTGCAAATTTCAGCTGTGGTGGTACACACTGCATGCAAATTGACCTTTTTTCATCCTCATCTTAGAAGTTAGACAAGCTGAGAACATATAATGGCAGCAGAAATCTGACAGAAATGCAAAGAATATCATTAATGGACAGAAATACAGATAAGGCAGGCCTTCAATAAATGGACAAAAAAAAAAAAAAAAAAAAACTGGCTAGAGAAATTAACAGACAGTCCGGCATGTTTTGAGAAGAAAATTATTTGAAATAGTAGTGACAATCCGCAAACAATAGAAACAGAGTAAGAGGAAGACAGAGATACAAATACTTGGATGGCTTGTCAAATAAAATGGGCATGAGAGAAACACTGATCTGATACATGATTCCAGAAGTTGTGTGAGATAGATGGCAAATTATGACAGCCTTCTCTTAACTCTTTAAGTCCCAGGGGGTTTAGCATCACAGGCCCAGGGGATAGTCAAGAAAGTGATAAAATGGGCTCATCATGCGTTCATTGGGCTTCTAGGTAGGAATCTATAAATGTTCTTTGGGACTCAGAGAGTTAACAACATGTTAGTTTCCAGTGAGAGTGAGTGTTAGAACATTATGTTTTGATATTTTCCAGGGCTGTTGAGTGAAAGATAGGACTTATTTCTTGTATTCTCTGTGTGGGACCCAGGGTCCCATTATAGGAGGAAAAAAAAAGAAATAGACCCACTGCCTCCTTAACAAGCATGTCTTAAAAGCCAACTAATTAGGGGTGTTTAATGTTGGAGTACATCTGCCTGAGTGGCAAGGAACCAGCGGTCTGCATACAAATAAGCTAGATCTGTCAAACAAATGTGCACATACAGCTCAAGTTTTGGAACAAGACTAAAGTCCAGAAATGGATGAACAACCATAACTTTCTGCAAATGTATGGACAGTTAGTAGATTCCATTTATTTTAAAGAGAGCTTACAGTGACCGACACCTGGGACACCCTTGCTATATATATATATATATATAGCTATACATACACATTTTTTAGGCATTTTTATTAGAGAAGAATATTTATTGCTTGTTTAATTCTGGTGTGCACTGTGAGTGAATATGATGTGCACTGTGAGTGAATATGATGTGCACATGAGTTTCTCACAAAAGTAGTAGAAATAATATTTATTTGTGAGTTTTTGTAACTTTAACAATTTTTAACTACTTTTTCCTCTAATTCGTAATCCACAGAGTCTTGCAGAATTGAAAGCCAGCCTGGGTCCAGATGATGTGAAGAAAGCTGCATTTTCTTTGATTATGGTAATTTTGTATGTCCATGAATAATCATTTATTTTTTAATACATGCATTAAAAAGCTATAAGATACTTTCAGCAGTAGGCTAAAACCATACATCGAAGATATATTGGGTGATTACTAAGCAGGTTTCTGACAGAACAGACCGACAATAGAACAGATATTCCATGTTATGGCAGATAGCAGAGCATATTGGGGAGGCATATAATAAACCTGACATCCTACATTATGCCAATGTCTTCAGATGGAGGAGCACATTGGGGAGGCATATAATAAACCTGACATCCTACATTATGCCAATGTCTTCAGATGGAGGAGCACATTGGGGAGGCATATAATAAACCTGACATCCTACATTATGCCAATGTCTTCAGATGGAGGAGCACATTGGGGAGGCATATAATAAACCTGACATCCTACATTATGCCAATGTCTTCAGATGGAGGAGCACATTGGGGAGGCATATAATAAACCTGACATCCTACATTATGCCAATGTCTTCAGATGGAGGAGCACATTGGGGAGGCATATAATAAAACCTGACATCCTACATTATGCCAATGTCTTCAGATGGAGGAGCACATTGGGGAGGCATATAATAAACCTGACATCCTACATTATGCCAATGTCTTCAGATGGAGGAGCACATTGGGGAGGCATATAATAAACCTGACATCCTACATTATGCCAATGTCTTCAGATGGAGGAGCACATTGGGGAGGCATATAATAAACCTGACATTCTACATTATGCCAGTGTCTTCAGATGGAGGAGCACATTGGGGAGGCATATAATAAACCTGACAACCTACATTATGCCAGTGTCTTCAGATGGAGGAGCATATTAGGGAGGCATATAAGAAACCTAACATCATACATTATGCCAATGTCTTCAGATGAAGGAGCATATTGGGGAGGAAGACTTGCCCAGCTTATCCATGAAGGGTATAAATGTTGAAAGAAGAGATAACCTGAAATACTTAGGTTTGACTTTGATCACCGTCTGTCCTACACAAATCTCATAGAGGAGACTGATCAAATGCAAGCTTGGCCTGGCGGCACTGAAGACGATGGTGGTGACACACATGGAACAGAGACTATTGGTCTTGTTGTTCAACCATTTGATCCCTTCAGAATATTAACCCTATCTACTTCACAGTGTTCAAAGCTTGAACAGATTCAAAATTAAGGAATGAGAATCATCTTGGATTGCACATGAGAGACCTTAATCAAAACAATGAGGTATATGCTTGGGCTGACAACGGTAACATCTAGACTGTCACTGGCATAAGGCAAGGCCTATATGTGAGTTACCAGTGATGAAAGGCATCTGCTGCATGGTAATTTGAACGATTTAAAAGGAGACCGGTTGAAAAGAGGAAAGTCATGGATGGCACAAGCGGAAGATACCATCGACCAGCCTCAGTCAAGCAAATACACAAGGGGGAGGAATGGGTCGACACGAACACCCACAACAGCAGTTTCCATCAGGTCATTATCATGTTAGGAAGAGAGTAGAGAGAGTGGTCTAAGGGTATGGCAGAATTAGAGGTACAACAATTGATAGATGGAAAAGCTGGGCTAGATGATGCAGTAGTGTACACCGATGGTTCTGTTCATGAGGATGTAAGATCTGGCTGGGGATTTTCAGCTGAATAAAGGGGGGAAAAAGGTGGCAGAACAAAATGGAGCTTTTTTATCCACAACTTCAAGCATGAGAATGAAAGTGGAGGCAGAAAATAAAGTTACTAGAGGAATTATTGTCTGATTCTCAGTCGGCATTGCTGAAGGTTCAAAATCGACTACTGTGGCTTGAATGGATACCATGCATTAGTACACCAACAATGCAGGGAATCACTTGGATTTACTGTCTGGGAGATGCAAGAGTGCGAGGGAATGAAAGAGCAGATGTTCTGGCAACGAAAGCGAAAGCTACGGGGACACTCATACTGGGAAAAGGAGATATTCTGAAGACTATATATGAATGACTATTGACAGAAGACATGAGATTAGATGAAATAACATGGGCAAGAATGTATGAACGAGGAATTAAGTGTCGATCCTACAAGGAGGGACGGATGAGAGAAAGAGAATGACGTGTGTATAATCAGTGTGCTGCTGGAGGAGTTAGCTTCTACAGCTTAAGAATTTTGCAGCGAGAGATGGAGTATCTATGATTTTACCCGGTGTGCTGCGATGTAGATTCTTAAATTAGTAAATACAACCCTTATCCTAGTAAGAGGAAATGCAACCTAAAAACTGAATGTTTTTGCAGGGCGGACCAGGCAGTTACCCTTGGTTGGCAGCTGGACTAATAGTGAAGCAGCTCCAACAGGTGGACAAACAGAACACTGCTCTTCTGATCCAACATCTTCTGCAGCATGCTTTGTTTCAAAAGAATTGGATGAGCAACATGTGGTCTCTATAATACTTCCCACTCTTGAGCTATGGAAAGGAAGAACGTTAAATGTTTGTAATGGCAGCAATGGTTCTGAAATCATGTACTCTGAATGTGGAAGAATGTCAAACTTGCCAGCTCCATGAGCTGTGATTCTCATGCCTCCCTGTAGCACAGTAAAACGCTGTCATCTGGAAAAGTGGAGAGCTACCAACATTTTCTTATTCTTGTTCCTACAGGATGCAATGAGCAGCAACAATCCCATCCTGAGATGTGCAGCAGGAGAAGCACTGGGTCGCATGGCTCAGGTTGTTGGAGACAGCAAGTTCATTGCAGAAATGGCACAGCACAGTTTTGACAAGTAAGGCATTTTTGTGTTTGATAAAAGTTGTCATGGTTTCTTGTCAAATCAAATAGCAGAGAATGTTGTTGGGTTATCAGCTCTTCTCACAATGACTGCTCTGTTTAAATACATCAGTGACTTTATCTGAATGTGTTCATTATACATTCTTCCTCAAGTTTTCCACCTGACCACATTTGCTGTGGTTACTTACCTATTACATGTTTGTATCATCATCTTGTGCCATGCTGATTAATTATATGATGCCCCAAACTGCTGATCTGTCTGTAAACTACAGCATCACCTTCATCTGTGTTTTCATCAATCAATGTTTTGACTGAAGTATCTGCTATGCCAGGAGTCTGCTCTCTTCAGCTTCTATCAAGTGTGATATGGATTGTTTTCAGCAGCAGGCATGGGTGTCCATTCAATTCAAAAATTAACATCATTAAGGCAACAAATCACTTGAGTGGCATCCTCAGCACGACCTATCCACGATTTGCCTTTTTTAAGTTTGTTTATTTCTGTTGACTCTTTAGCTTAGACTGGCCTAAAAATAAACACTCAGTTAATGTGAGTGAAATTTTTGTCCCAGCAGAGATGTATTATTCATAATACATCTGTTAGCCCCCAGCTAGCATGAATATTTTTAACATAGGCAATTTTTTTGTGGGTCCCTTGGAATGTGTTAACAGAGTTTTACTGAATATTAAACAGTAATTAGAAAGGAACAAGTTACATGGAGATCTTCTCTTTAGAATACTAGAAAGCAGTAGAAGAAAGGGAGCATCTATAACACAAGCATGCAAGGGCATTAGGGTTCAGATTAAATGCAGAGCTGAGGAGAACAGGAGACGCTAGAGAGTTGGGAGCACATTAAAATATCCAAAGGACGGTAACTTTATGGGACATGCTGGTCTCCACCTTTTTCAACATGCTGTGTGAGTCGGTTACAACTGCGACATATGTGTACAGCTGATTCTCAAGCTAGCAAAAGGCTGCCGTGACTGACTTTACCTCCATTTGTTTCCTACTACAGTTTCTGTTTTGTCATTCTCTACCTGCCTTGTCTCAGAATATGTCCAGTATAATCACCATTTTAATTCTCTAGTGTTTATTGATACTAGCGGTTGCTTAATCTTAGCTTCAAGTATTACACACTCTTTAATTGTGCTTTATTTTCTCATTTAATTATAATATCTAATAATGCATACTGTTTTGACAGGTTGAAATCGGCTCGTGATGTTGTGAGTCGTACTGGTCATTCTTTGGCTCTGGGATGCTTGCATCGCTATGTAGGTGGCATGGGTTCAAATCAGCACTTGAATACGTCTGTTAGTATTCTGCTGGCCTTAGCTCAGGATTTCAACTCACCTGTAGTACAGGTAGGAACGTGTGTGTTTGTGAATTGGGTATGTCTGTAAATCTTTTCATTTTTGCTTTACAATTAGAGCTATATAAAGACGACATCTTTAATTAAAATAACAATTTGTTTAAAACATTACTTCCATGAGGATTGGGTTACCGGCGGGGAAGGACACATGGTCACATGCGGCCACTTTTGCCTTTCATACCTTTGAAGGTTTCCAGAACAGAGAGGAAACGGCGGCAGTGGCACTCGATTTATAAGACGCTTGCAGCAGAGTCACAGTATCTTCATGAAAGTGCTTATGGAGAAAGGAGTCTGTCCTTGGCTGGTGAGTTGGGTAGTAGCCGTTTTGTATACTCGTCGGGTAGCTATCCACCTGGGTTCATGGACCTCTGAACCATGTATTATTATAGCTCCAGGACTGCCACAGGGATTGCAATTTAGCCTGTACTATTCAAAGTTTTTACGAGCAAGATTGCCTGCCTGGAAACACCTGGAGTTGGCAGAATATTGACATTTGCAGATGATGTTCTTGTATATCGGAAGGGGAGAGATCGGAATCAAATAGCTGAAGAGTTACAGGCAACAGTAGATGAGGTGATCAACTTGAATTGGTAGGAATACCTCAAAAGAGTTCTTTATTATTTGTTACATATTGTAATGACAAAACTTACTTAAGGTTGTTGTATATCCTTGAGGTTGTTGCATATCTTTGAGGTTGTTGCATATCCTTGAGATTGTTGCATATACTTCAGCATGTTGCATATCCTTGAGGATGTTGTATATCCTTGAGGTTGTTGCATATCCTTGAGGTTGTAGCACATCCTTGAGGTTGTTGCATATCCTTGAGGTTGTTGCATATCCTTGAGGATATTGCAAACCAGTCCCAGCATCTGTTGGCTGTTTGTGATATTTTTTACTAGGCAATTTTATGTTTACTAGTTTGCTATTGCCTGCTGAACTGTCAGCTCTCAATACCCTTGTTTCCCCGTGTATGTTCCAGGGTGAGAACTCCCTATTATAGGGTTAAAAAAAAAGAAAAGAATACATACACTGCCTACCCAAAAGCATGTCACAAGAGTCGACTAATTGTGAGCTTCCTTTGAAGTTGAAGTGCAGCTGCCTGAGAAGCAAGGAACCAGCAGTCTGCATACAAATGAGTCAAATCTGTAAAACGAGTGCATACACATCACTCAGGTTTTGGAACAGGACTGCAGTCCAGAAATGGACAAACAACCAGAATTTTCTATCAGACTTTACAGCTGGTGAACGCAAAGAAGAAGAAGGAGAATAACATTGTTGAAATCAACACAAAGGGGTCTTCTGCCTGATCTCCTTCACCTGGAATCAAACCTGGTATCTCGAGATTGCAGACCAGGCTGGAAACCTCTAAGCCACAGATGCTGACACAGATTACAAGCAGAACATGAATACATGCTCGTCCATTGAATTTTACAGGTTTGGGCCCTTCATGCTCTGGCTCTGATCGCTGACTCTGGAGGCCCCATGTACCGCAGTTATGTTGAGCCTACTCTGTCCCTGGTGCTGCAGCTCTTGTTGTCAGTTCCTCCATCTAGTGTGGATGTTCATCAATGCTTGGGGAAATGTCTGTCTGCCTTGATCACATCTATTGGGCCAGAACTTCAAGGTAAGTCACATTACAAGTAAACACTTCACTGTTTCAGAGCTGTTGGTTAGGCATAAAAACAGAACTCATCTTATGTGTTTTAACTTTGTAGCAAAAAGGAAGCTGTGTTTTCCTGTACTCCAAGGGCTGTTCCATGGCAGTAATGCAAGTGTTCTCGGGGCTTGAAACACAACACTACACAAGCGCATGTGTACTCAGTGATTAAATGAGTGTGATACGGAGGGTTCAGGCAGGTTTGGTGTGAATGCAATGGCTTGAGTCATTACAAAAGTCCACTGCATGGAGTCAACTTTATTTTTATTCCGAGACACACAGGCCTCCATGGAAATGAAAGAGCTGATAGGTTGGCTTGATCAGCTATCACCTATGGATCATGCTGACATTATTGCCCTCCAAGAAATGGAAAGGTTGGAGGACTTTGAAGGGCAATGAATCCCCATCACTTGCCAGAATGATAGACTTGGGATTTTAAGATCAACATAGCAGAAAACAAAACACACACCAGGCATATCAAAGGACTTGTTAATCAGCATAGAACTGGTACTGTTAGCAACCGGATGCTAGGGTTCATACTGAGAGGTGGATCTGAGCATCTATGGACATGTCTGAAGTGCAATGATGATAACCTAAATAACTAACTAAATAACTATATAACTCAGGGTAATTAATGATCTTTCAACATAGTCAAGTAGCTGGTCCTTTGTAGAATGTCGCTGTCATCACGGTCTGCCTGAAAGAAACTCACAACTTTATATTCCAGGAGTCATTTATATCCTGCACCCATCTTTGTGTCGGTCGGTCAATTTATTTTCTTTAAAATAATCAAATCCAGAGAATTAAAAAAAAAATTTTCATATGATTCTTACCTACTACCTTGCTTTGAAGCAAAGCATCTCAGTGGAACTCTGTATCACAAATGATGAACCAGACAATGATCTAAGTAAAGCTGAGTGTCACAAGTGATGAACCAGATAATGATCTAAGTAAAGCTGAGTGTCACAAGTGATGAACCAGATAATGATCTAAGTGAAGCTCATTGTCACAAGGGATGAACCAGACAATGATCTAAGTGAAGCTCAGTGTCACAAGTGATGAACCAGACAATGATGTAAGTGAAGCTCAGTGTCGTAAGTGATGAACCAGACAATAATCTAAGTAAAGCTCAGTGTGACAAGTGATGAACCAGACAATGATCTAAGTGAATCTTAGTATCACAAGGGATGAACCAGACAATGATGTAAGTGAAGCTCAGTGTCATAAGTGATGAACCAGACAATGATCTAAGTGAAGCTCAGTGTCACAAGTGATGAACCAGACAATGATCTAAGTGAAGCTCAGTGTCACAAGTGATGAACCAGACAATGATGTAAGTGAAGCTCAGTGTCACAAGTGATGAACCAGACAATGATGTAAGTGAAGCTCAGTGTCACAAGTGATGAACCAGACAATGATGTAAGTGAAGCTCAGTGTCACAAGTGATGAACCAGACAATGATGTAAGTGAAGCTCAGTGTCATAAGTGATGAACCAGACAATGATGTAAGTGAAGCTGAGTGTCACAAGTGATGAACCAGACAATGATGTAAGTGAAGCTGAGTGTCACAAGTGATGAACCAGACAATGATGTAAGTGAAGCTCAGTGTCACAAGTGATAAACCAGACAATGATGTAAGTGAAGCTCAGTGATCACCAAGATGATGAAGCCAGACAAGTGATGAACCAGAAGATGGAAGCTCAGTGTCACAAGTGATGAACCAGACAATGATGTAAGTGAAGCTCAGTGTCACAAGTGATGAACCAGACAATGATGTAAGTGAAGCTCAGTGTCACAAGTGATGAACCAGACAATGATGTAAGTGAAGCTCAGTGTCACAAGATCTAAGATGTATGAAGCTCAGTGTCACAAGTGATGAACCAGACAATGATGTAAGTGAAGATCAGTGTCACAAGATGAAACAAAGATCTAAGTGAAGCTCAGTGTCACAAGTGATGAACCAGACAATGATGTAAGTGAAGCTCAGTGTCACAAATGATGTAAGTGAAGCTCCAGACAGACAATGATCTAAGTGAAGCTCAGTGTCACAAATGATGAGCCAGACAAGATCTAAGGGAAGCTCAGTGTCACAAATGATGAGCCAGACAAGATCTAAGTGAAGCTCAGTGTCACAAATGATGAGCCAGACAAGATCTAAGTGAAGCTCAGTGTCAGTGTGACCAAATTGATGAAGCCAGACAAGTGATCTAAGTGATCTAATTGAAGCTCAGTGTCACAAATGATGAGCCAGACAAGATCTAAGGGAAGCTCAGTGTCACAAATGATGAGCTCAGTGTAGTGACCATGATGTAAGTGAAGCTCAGTGTGGCAAGTGATGAACTAGACAATGATGTAAGTGAAGCTCAGTGTCATAATTGATGAACCAGACAATGATCTAAGTGAAGCTCAGTGTCACAAGTGATGAACCAGACAATGATCTAAGTGAAGCTCAGTGTCATAATTGATGAACCAGACAATGATCTAAGTGAAGCTCAGTGTCATAATTGAAGAACCAGACAATGATCTAAGTGAAGCTCAGTGTGAGAAGTGATGAACTAGACAATGATCTAAATGAAGCTCGGTGTGACAAGTGATGAACTAGACAATGATCTAAATGAAGCTCGGTGTCAAGTGATGAACTAGACAATGAAATAATTGAAGCTCAGTGTGACAAGTGATGAACCAGTCAATGATGTAAGGGAAGCTCAGTGTGACAAATGATGAACCAGACAATGATGTAAGTGAAGCTCAGTGTGACAAGTGATGAACCAGACAATGATCTAAGTGAAGCTTAGTGTGACAAGTGATGAACCAGACAATGATGTAAGTGAAGACAGATCTAGTGATGAACCAGACAATGATCTAATTGAAGCTCAGTGTGACACAAATGATGAGCTAGACAAGTGATCTAGACAATGTGAAGAAGCTCAGTGTCACAAGTGATGAACCAGACAATGATCTAAGTGAAGCTCAGTGTCACAAGTGATGAACCAGACAATGATCTAAGTGAAGCTCAGTGTCACAAGTGATGAACCAGACAATGATCTAAGTGAAGCTCAGTGTCACAAGTGATGAACTAGACAATGATGTAATTGAAGTTCATTGTCACAAGGGATGAACCAGACAATGATCTAAGTAAAGCTCAGTGTCACAAATTATGAGCCAGACAAGATCTAAGGGAAGCTCAGTGTCACAAATGATGAACGAGACAGTACATTTAAGTGAGGCTCGGTGTCACAAGAGATGAACCAAACATCTCATTGAAGCTCATTGTTGCAGGTGATGAGCCAAACAGATTTATCTCAATTGTTCTACTTCTTCAACATTTGCCATATGCATGGGTCACAGACACGATGGTGTGCCTAAGGTCTTCACCAGTCCTCTGTAGATTATTTTGTGAATGATCTTCTGATGTCCAGTAGAAGACAGTAGGATCAATTGTTGTTTAACTGAGTCTGAATACGTTGTTAATTTCTTTGCTTAACAAAGATATATTAATATGATACCTTATATCTGCTTTCACAGGAAATTCTAGTGCTGTTGGTACAGCCCGTCTCTACTGTCTGGTTTGCTGTGCTGTAATGCAAGCACACCCTGATTCTCTAGTGCAGGCAGAAGCCATCGCTTGCCTGCAGCAGCTGCACATGTTTGCACCCAGACACCTCAACCTCAGCAGTCTGGTGCCCCATCTCTGTGTAAGTCTCACTGTTGACTTCATCAGAAGATATTCTTGTGGTGACTGTGTAAAGTTTTATTTGTTCTTTGTCCACTCTTAGTGCTCACATAGTTGGTGCTCTCTAGGGCGTAAAATGATCTTGGTCATTAACTGTGATCTCTACATGACCATAGAACATCCAAGGTCTTAAAGAAATTGTGTCTCTATAATTTTACCAAGTAAGCCATAGCCACCCATGAGGGATCTTTTGAAAGAGTCAAAAACATTGGCAGTGCCCGTATATTGAATCTCAGAAACACATATTTCAAGTGTATCAGTAACTTTTCTACTTCCATTGTCTCTGCAATAATCTGTCCTCTGTGTCTAGCCCCATCCTGACAGTTTACCACAGTGGACAGGTCTTTCAGTATCTGTAATGATATCATTCTCTCCAGAGATGCCCTCTATCAGATGTCATACTTTTACTTCTATTCTTCTGTGGCACCACTTTCTGCAGTTTCTGCCGTGTTGTGAGAGTATTACAATTGTTAAGTTTTTCCTCACCATCATCATGCAGCAGGTCCTTTGCAGAACCTTGCTCCCTTTGCGGTCTGTCTGAAAGAAACCTGTCTCTTGCCAGCTCTCTCGCCTTGTGTACTTTCATATTCAAGCAGTCACTTAAATCCTCTGCCTATCTTCATGTTGGTCAGCTTCTGCCACTCCTTCCTAAGTTTTTTCCTAGTACACAATAATCCACTTATGTCCCACATGAGCAAACTGGCAACCTGGACAGTTCTTTCTTCAGTTTTTTCTGTTGGAGACGTCTGACATTGAATTCTTACAGTCTCTGTGTCAGCTTTGTTTCTCATCCAAGTATCGCTGCAGCGCTTCCTCTGTAGTTGCCATGAGGGCTTGGTCATCTGTGAAAAAAAAGGTCATTGTACTTATTGTCCTAATTAATTAACTGTGCCTTATTGATTTGATCTATATCTGTGATAAATAGCAAGAGGATAAAACACATTCTTGTCAGATTGCAGATTGCAAATAAAGAAATTTAAATAATGGGGGTGGTGGTGGGGGGGGGGGGTGTGTGTGTGTGTGTGAGGGGGGACACACAAATAATCTGAAACCTCAAAATACTCTTAAAAATGACACTTATTTTAATGATTGTGTATAGGAAAACTTGACAAGCTCACATCTGTTGCTGCGCAGAGCAGCAGTATCCTGTCTACGACAGCTGGCAACCAGGGAAGCATGCGATGTCAGTGCCCTGGCCCTCTCTCTGGTGGGCACCAGAAAAGATGCCAAGACAAGCTCACATATTGCAGAAACAGGTATTTCATCTACAAGTGTTCTCTGTTAGTTATTTATTCTTTTTTTTTTTTTAAATCTGACACATCTGCTCAGTAGACACATGCACACCTATACAACACACACATTCATTTTTTTTAAGCACATTCTTTCTTTCTTTTTTTTTTTTTTTTTTTAAACAGTCCCTGTCTGATTATTTTAATTCTTGTCATGTTTGGCTATGAGGCTTAGAAATTAGCAAAATGACATGGTTTCACAATCCAGTCCTTGGCACACCAAGGTTTGGTTTTCACAGATGGTGGTGCAGAAAAAAGTTTGTTTGCCTGGAAACTTTCAGTCAACTGTACAAGAGTCACACCTGAAAGTGGTAGTAGCCTCAACAAATAATATTCTCAAAGATGGTAGTTGAGCGAGCCTCTGTTGTAGAGACAGCACACAATGTTTTTCATTCTGTTCATGCATATGGAATAATTATTTATAATTGTTATTTTTCTCTTTGCTAAGTAGTTCTCTCCCCCCCCCCCCCCCCCCCCCCCCCCCCCCCCCCCCCCCCCCAAACACTTGATAGAAACTTAGGCTGTAATTGTTGCTAGTACCTTTATGTGTTGTTCATTTTGTGGAGCTAGCCAGTCATAGTTTGTTTCCATTCGTTCTGTTGTTGTCTCTCCTCACATGTGATAAATGCCAGTGCTTTAATCTGCCATTGGCAAAGTGGGATTTATAGTAAATTGCTGATAAGGCCAACATTAGTATGGGGTGTTCCTTGCATTCTTTGTACTGAATGAGATCGAATGTAACACAATATTGTTATCTGAGTAGAAAATCTTGAAATGTCTAAGCTCACGGAAACAAAACTACAACCATTATTGCCAGAGTTGTGCCAATTTATTATTGTTAAAGTTAAAAAAAAAATGGTAGAGGGCGCTCCGCCCCACAACCATTGGTATCAGACATATGGTGCTAGTATAGACATATGTTTAAATGGACTAGCTTATGGGAGATGAGGTCAGCATCATACCTGCTACGTTTACTTCCAAGGACGATTCCTGGCAACAGTTTTAAGCAAGGTTGACATTGTACCCTACATAATTGATAAAATCTCCCTCAGTGTGGAATTAATCCCAACACCTTTAGCCAGCAGGCAAGAGTCTAATCACTGTCACGTGGTTTCCTTTACAAATATCATTTTCTATAAATCATATCACAGAACAGGGATTTACATTATATCTGAATCTTCCTTCTTCCCAGGCCTTGAGGGAGTCCTGTTTGGGATGTTGGACACGGAGGTCGATGCTCAGCTCTTGTCAGATCTAAGGGATACCATAGACTCCTTGTTGCAATCTTTAGCCATTGCAAATCTTGGGAGATGGTTGGCTCTACTTAAAGATGTGCTGTCTGCATCGGCTGGTAAGTTTTTGATGTCACTCTAATTCAGTGCAGTGTTAGATCGGGCAAGGGAGAAAATAATATGTGTATGTTTTGTTTTTTATAACAGCAATAGGATAAGACGCTGAACAAGACAGATATGTCCGGTTCCTAAAAGTTTCATAAATGCCCCCCAAACCCACGCACACAGAGAGAGAGAGAGAGAGAGAGAGAGAGAAAAAGATTTTTTTTTTTTTTGGTACAACCATTGTACACAGGAAACCAGGTGTTTTAACAAATTGACTTACATACACTTAATTTGTTTTAAGAAAATATGCAGGGCAGTAATCACTAAACAAGAACAGAGTAGATGACTCAGTGTGACCTGGGGTCAGTGACCTAACACTAGAGCTGGGGGTAACCTTTGATGACATGACATTTTTGCCCCCACCCCCACACCCCTACCCCCACCCCCATGATGGGATTTTTAGTAAATAAAACCATACCTGGTCCTGCTAAACACTGTTCAGGTGCAAACAGAACCTAATGCTGTTAACTAGACTTCTTGGGGACAGGTCACTGCAGGTAAATGGTATTTGTGTTACGGACAGATTAGTGGTTTCAGCGAAAGGGTTCAGCTCTGTGAGGATAAATACAAGGCAGATAAAGAATGGATGTGGTTCTGGGCAAAAACAGCAGTGTATCACAACATAACAAAACAGCCAAACTAATAATCACAAGTAAAGGATCTTGTTTGAACCGGTGGACACCTGATGACACTAAGAAGGAAGTGTACCAACACATAATTAGTCCCATGCCCAAAGAAAAATATGTGACATTGAAGAGTTGAGTTGAGTAATTCAAGAACCAACATTACAGCACTAAGAGCATTCCCATAAGCGTTCCATCCCCATCTTCAGCAGCCAGTGAAGAGTTCTGATACTAATGGTGCCAGTAGCATTCTGATTAAACATCTGTCCTGCCTTTCCTCTGAGCCTCGAGCATCTGCCAGAACCTCTCGTCACTCCCCGCTGCATCAATCTCACCAGACTGTGGTGATCCATCTGCTCCTCCAAACTGTACATGTTCTCCCACAAGGCACTAATCACGTCTACCTTATCATGCATCAGTATTCAACCAAGTTGTGCAGAGCCAGCCAGTCTGTCCGACTGTTTATTTTCCAACACACTGGCGTATCTTGGTGAAAAAATCCAGACAATACTCCTCACCTGTGTCCTCCGCAATGAAGCATGCCACTCTGCATAAAGCATGCCTGTCCTGACCTTCCGCAGCATGCTTTCTGAGTCAGTTACAACATGTTATTTATCAGCGGAAAGCTGCAGTGGCTGCCCCCACCTCCATTCTTATGCTGGATTTTGTGGTATCATATGCTATAAGCTCTGCACCAAATGTCGACCATTAACTTTTGCTAAGAAACCCCAAGCACTTCTTTTGCCTCTTAAAACTGAACTGTCTGTGTAAATAATCAAATCCTATTAGCAAGCATTATCTTGAATTAATTGCTGAATTTCCACCTCTGCATTCCCGGCTCAGTGTGGTTATGACCCTACACAAGTCTGACTGTTCAGGTTGCACTTTGACCTTCTCCTGTCCTCACCTAATGTTCTCAAGGATGCAAACCTGTCTGTAAAGGACATGTTTTTCAAATTTACAAATTAAAAAAAAATAATTACCTGTTTGACAACTCCATTCAGTGTCTAGCTTTTCAGGAATATTTTTACTTTAGGCAAAACTATATAAATGTAACATTTTATTTAGAACTGTAAAAGAACTGGCAAACACTTAAGTATATTACTCTGTGTGTGTTAGGTCCTAAGGCACGGTTTAAGGTGTTGCTGAGTAGAAACAAGGATAGATTCATTAAAACAAGATGTTTAGTATCTGCAGATGTAGCTTGTGTACACATCTGTTGACAGATGCATCGACTACGGATAATGATGTAGATGATGCTGGAGATGGTGATGATGACGGGGAGGAAGGTGATGATATTGGCACAACTTTTAAAGCTGCTGAACCAGATGTAACTCACCCTTCTGTAGCACCCAGGTAAATATGAAACTTATTGATTTCTTGTTCTGGATTCTTTGGTAACTGTCATGAACTACTGTTGATGGTAGCGTAACAATCTACTCTAGTTGAAATATGTGGGCACTAATTTCATCTAATTTAAATGTGAGTGACTGATGTTCAACCCCAACAGGATCGCACTACAAGCGATAAACAACCGGTGATACAAAATGCACCCATTTGGATGAGAATCACGCAGGTACTAGTCCCAGAAACCCTGTTCAACCGTTACGTTATATTAGGGCCCTGACTACCGCCAGGGTGGAGCTTTGAAATAACAAAACAAAAAAATTGCATCTAAAATTGGGGCAGAAACCTATTGTAATGTTGGTAGTGGCTTTATTTTTTAAACTAGATGTAACAAGGAAAGATCACTTGCGGACAATTATAACAGGACGAGAGTCGGCACAGAGCCAGTACTGTATTTGTAGACAACAGATCAGATTGTTGGCCATATAATAGGATTGGCGTCAGACAGTGCATCACAGAGAGAATTGTTTATACAGATACAGCGATAACAGAGCCAGAGGTCGACGACACAGAAGATGGACAGTAGAAAAATCAGAGACACTGTAAAGTACTATATATTAAATTAAAAGAAGGGCCTGTTCCATAAATCTCTTCCTGTCCTGGCACTGCGAGGCATTCCAGAAGGAGAGAAAAGAAGCTGAAGAAGTGGCTGAAATATTTATTGTTGATGAATTATGTGGACACAAAACTTTATCTAGTTATACTGTTGAGGGTGACTGGCATCTGTTGCTTAAGCGTTGCAATTGGCTTTGAAATGTCTGGGTCCGACTGTTCAAGGGCAGTGGCACACTAACAAAATTTGACTAGAAAATCCTCAGCAACCAAAATAATCCTGGGGTTGGTTCTGCAGTGTCCTGTAAAGGATACGCAACTAACTAATGGACTGTTGATGGTGGCTTAAATATTGACTATAAATGAAATGTATGGGCACTGAACTTCCTTAGTTATATTGTTGAAATTGTAGGCAGACAACTTTTTATAATTGTTTATGATGGTCATCATCATTTTCAGGATTAATTGCAACTGACATGGACATTTGTGCCTCACTACTACTTCTTTTCTATCACAGAATCTTCTCTCGCTGACCTTTTTCTGTCTGCATTAAACATCCTACCTGCTTTAAACAGTACATTCAGATGTATTGCTGTCATGGTATGACCAGAAGTCTTGACTTCCTTCTACTTATGTTTGTACTGGTTTGTTCGGGTATCAGCATTTGTCAGAACATTAAGAATATGCATGTTGATTGTCCGAGTCATAGCAGTGAGCAAAGCAGCAATATGGATGTGGGCACAGACCTTTACACACACATGCTTTCTCAGGAACAGTGAGTATGCAAAGGAAAGAAATGGACTGGGTCCAAAGACAGTGGTTGGAATGGGTGAGGCAGTCAGGACTGACACATATCCATTTCATATTTGTGCCATGGCATGCAAGGAAAGGAGCAAGCTGATCAGCTTGCAGGTAAAGCTATTGTAGAGGGCAGATGAGCCATGGACCAGGCTGAATGCTCTACAAGAAGTAAGACATTTGCAAGATCCAAGTGATGACTGAATCTGCAGCCCTGACTAGACTTCATGTTAAAAGGGATGAGCCAGACAAGAGCACTGTGCAGGAAGCCAAAGAATAATAAGAAGCCAACACAGAACTGGTGTCATTGGTTGCTACACACTGCAGGATTTACTAAAGAGGAGATCCAAGTACTTACAATTAAAAACGAATGGTTCAAAGTGCAGTGAGGATAATCTGTTGACTAATTAACTAACTATGGTGATGCAGTGAGGATAATCTGTTGACTAATTAACTAACTATGGTGGTGCAGTGAGGATAATCCTGTTGACTAATTAACTAACTATGGTGGTGCAGTGAGGATAATCTGTTGACTAATTAACTATGGTGATGAAGTGAGGATAATCTGTTGACTAATTAACTAACTATAGTGGTGCAGTGAGGATAATCTGTTGACTAATTAACTAACTATAGTGGTGCAGTGAGGATAATCTGTTGACTAATTAACTGTGGTGATGAAGTGAGGATAATCTGTTGACTGATTAACTAACTATGGTGGTGCAGTGAGGATAATCTGTTGACTAATTAACTAACTATGGTGATGCAGTGAGGATAATCTGTTGACTAATTAACTAACTATGGTGGTGCAGTGAGGATAATCTGTTGACTAATTAACTAACTATGGTGGTGCAGTGAGGATAATCTGTTGACTAATTAACTAACTATGGTGGTGCAGTGAGGATAATCTGTTGACTAATTAACTAACTATGGTGGTGCAGTGAGGATAATCTGTTGACTAATTAACTAACTATGGTGGTGCAGTGAGGATAATCTGTTGACTAATTAACTAACTATGGTGGTGCAGTGAGGATAATCTGTTGACTAATTAACTAACTTTGATGGTGCAGTGAGGATAATCTGTTGACTAATTAACTAACTATGGTGGTGCAGTGAGGATAATCTGTTGACTAATTAACTAACTATGGTGGTGCAGTGAGGATAATCTGTTGACTAATTAACTAACTATGGTGGTGCAGTGAGGATAATCTGTTGACTAATTAACTAACTATGGTGGTGCAATGAGGATAATCTGTTGACTAATTAACTAACTATGGTGGTGCAGTGAGGATAATCTGTTGACTAATTAACTAACTATGGTGGTGCAGTGAGGATAATCTGTTGACTAATTAACTAACTATGGTGGTGCAGTGAGGATAATCTGTTGACTAATTAACTAACTATGGTGATGCAGTGAGGATAATCTGTTGACTAATTAACTAACTATGGTGGTGCAGTGAGGATAATCTGTTGACTAATTAACTAACTATGGTGGTGCAGTGAGGATAATCTGTTGACTAATTAACTAACTATGGTGGTGCAGTGAGGATAATCTGTTGACTAATTAACTAACTATGGTGATGGTCCGTGGCATGTTAAACATTTTTCTATAGAACCACCCTTCAGGAACTTCATGGAATTTATTACTGGTTTACTCATTATCTGGGATTAACTGCCATGTTAAAGTTGATTATATGTAACAGGAAAGGACTGTTTTCCTAACATCTAATACAAATTGTGTACAGGTTTGTAATGACATTCAGTCTTATTCTGGCAAGATGTCTGACAGCAATCTTCTGATTTAAGACTGCTTACAGTAATCTACATGTTTAAAACACTGTGTTCTAAAACAAACTTCTTTTTCTCTTTGACAGATGGCCTACAAGAGTGTTTGCTGTAGAATGCTTAATGAAGATCATTTCTGCATGTGAAGGCGGGGAGGGACAATTTGATCTACAACTGGCAAAAGAATTGAAGGAAAAAACTGGCAAAAGTGAGACATGATGTACATTTATTTCTTGTTTCTGAACAATTTGTTGAATCACAGACAAGAAAATGGACCTTAATTTCATCATTTCCTGCCCCGCTGTGTGTTCAAAACCCCAGAAATTTATATCACCATAAAGATTTAAAACAAATGTATCGTTGTCAACAGCAGTTATAACCAGTTGTTTGTTTATTTATTTCAGTATTGCTATAAATGTGATGTTCTTTTATTCTAATCTGATAACTCTAATTCATTTCTAACAGACAAGAAAATATCTCTACTCAACACCATTTGGTGGCTATTTGTTTTATGTACCCACTTTCAGAATTAACATATATTTGCTTCAGACCGTTGTTTATCAGATATTGTTAAGAAACAAAAGATCTGCTTCCATCAGTGCTTGGGCTGTAACACAGGTCATCTACTTTATAGTATAACAGTGAGATATGTGTTACATTACATTAATATCAATCAAAGCAGTGCTTCCCCATTGTAAAGACAAATAAGACCCAGTTTAGTATTTCTTTTAATTTCTTTTGACCTCCACAAATTCCCTAGTGCTATGAAAGCCCCTCTTGCCTTTTGTATTCTAATTTTAATATCTCTATCAGTTCCTCCATCTTTATCTACATTAGTGCCTTAATAGGTGTACGACTCCACGTCTTGGAGTGGGGTGCCATTAAGAGAAACCACATTACTATTTGTCTGATTTATTCTCATTATCTTTGTCTTTCCTTTATGGATTTTCAGACCAAGCTGCTGTGATCTCGCATTAAGTATATTTAATTTATCTTGTATCTGATTCCGTGAATGGGACAGAAGAGCAATATCATCATCGAAGTCCAGATCATCAAGCTGTTTTGTAGGGGTCCATTGAATTCCATTCTTGGTGTTAGCAATTACTGTTTTCATAGTCCAGTCTATAGCCAGTAAAAATAAGAGAGGCGACAAAAGACATCCCTGTCGCACACCTGTTTTTATTTCAAATGCATCTGTTAGCTTTCCCTCATGAAGAACTCGACATTTCATGTCTTTATATGTTGCCTTTACTAAGTTGATAATTTTCTGTGGGATTCCATAGTGCCCCATCAATTTCCAGAGAGATTCCCTATCAATGCTGTCAAATGCTTTTTCATAGTCTATAAATCCAATGTAAAGTGGTGAGTTCAGTTCAATGCTTTGCTCTATTATAATACGTAATGTGGCTATCTGATCTGTACAGGATCTGTTTGACCGAAAACCTGCCTGCTCATCTCTTAGCATTTTATCAATAGCATCTTTTAATCTTTCCAAAATAATTCTACTTAATATTTTTCCAGGAACTGACAGCAAACATAATTCCTCTATAGTTTTCACACTCCTGTAGATCACCTTTTTTGGGCAGTTTCACAAGATATCCTTCTCTCCAGTCTGCTGGTATTTCTTCGGTCTCCCAGACTTTACTGAATAATCTATGTAGCAATTCTGTTGATGTGTTTATGTTGGTCCTGATGGCTTCAGCTGGGATACCATCTGGGCCTGACGCCTTTCCTTCCTTAAGAAGATTTATAGCTTTTCTAATTTCCTCTTTGGATGGTATCTCACAGTTGATATCCAGTTCCATTTCTAAAGGCTGGATATCTGGGGGAACCTCTGGGCCTGGTCTATTTAGAAGCATTTCAAAATATTCAACCCATCTGTCCATTTGATCTTTAGTGTTAGTAAGTACCTTTCCTTGACTATTTTTGATTGATCCAGTTGGCTGACTATATTTACCTACTAATTTTCTTGTGTTACTGTAAAGTTCTCTGAGGTTTCCTTTTGCTGCTGCTGTCTCCGCTTCTTGTGCTAGATCATTTAGATATTTCACTTTATCTGCCCTTATATGCCTCCTAACTTCCTTGTTGGCTTCTGTGTAATTCTCCTGAGCTCTAGCTTTAGCAGCTCTAGTTTTGCTATTGTTTAATTCTGCCTTTTTACTTTTCCTATCTTCAATCAGTTTAATGGTTTCTGGTGTTATCCATGCTTTATGTTTCCTTTCTTTCTTGCCAAGAACTTCTACGCAAGGTTCATTCCAGATTCCTTTGATCTGATCCCAGCAGACTTCTGTGTTGTCATCTTCAGCTAACTGCTGCAACACCTGGTACTTATTAGAGACCGTAACTGAGAACTGTTCCTTAATTTATTTATCTCTGAGAAAGCCTACATTATATTGGTTTCTATGATTAAAAGATGTTATATATCTTTTTAGTTTCAACTTGATTTTACTTATCACCAGGAAATGGTCAGTAAATACATCGGCACCTCTAAAAGCCCTAACATTGTAAATGGATGATCTAAACTTTTTGTTAATACATATGTGGTCAGTTTGATTAGTTGTCTTATGGTCTGGTGATTCCCATGTTGCCTTGTGTATACTTTTATGGGGAAAAATACTTCCACCAATAACATACTGGTTATCTGCACAGAAATTTGTGAACAATTCTCCATTTTCATTCGTTACTCCTAGACCAAGTCTCCCCATAATTTCTTCATAACCTGTGTTGTCTGATCCTATCTTAGCATTCAGGTCACCCATCAAAATTTTTAAGTTGCCCTTTCTTTCATTATTTATAATATTTTGAAGCTGCATGTAAAAATCTTCCTTAACAGATGCATCTTTATCATTTGTTGGTGCATAACACTGTATTACCGACATGTTCACCTTCTGTTTTACTGTTCTAAAAGATGCTCTTATTATTCTGGGACTCACAGCTTCCCATTCTATTAGTGCCCTGTCTGCTTCTTTTGATAGCATCAGGGCCGCTCCTTCACTGTGCGGCGAATTTTCCTCTGTGTGTCCTGAGAACAAAATAGTTTCTCCTGAATTAAGAATACTTTTCCCTGTCCCAGTCCATCTAGTTTCACATAACCCCAAAATACTAATTCTGTAATGTTTCATTTCCTTTGCTACTTCCATTGTTCTCCCTATATCATAGAGAGTTCTAACATTCCAGGTGCCAATTCTGGAGGTTTTCCTAGCTGAGAGGAGGTAAGTCAACGATTCGGACTCCTTACGGCTTTCTCCACACCGTGTCATACTTCTTCTATTTGAAGAGCCTCCCCTTGGTTGGCTGGATTTTATTTGCTTCTCTTTTTGACTTATCCATGGTTGGTTGGTTTTTGTGGCTATGATTTTTACAGGATGAGGTAGCCAACCTCAAGCCCAACCCTACCCTTAGTCGCCTCTTACGACATGCCTGGTAGGGTGCAGTGTCACTATTCTTTGCTTCCCGTGAGGGCCCCGGTGACACACAGGCGATTCTGCACACTGAATGCTGCTAACATTGGAAAGTTCCTTTAGTTTGCTGAAGCTGATGCAATCTTTCGTTCCTACCCAGTGTTGTGCAGACAAAAGAAAATAGTTGTAAGCTTGTATTTACTCTTTATTGTTGGAGTACTGAGGTAATAGAGGAATGGATTCCTGAGGTAATAAAGCAGTGGATGACTGAGGTGAAGCAGTGGATTACTGAGGTGAAGCAGTGGATGTCTGAGGTAAAAAAGCAGTGGATGACTGAGGTGAAGCAGTGGATTACTGAGGTAATAGAGGAATGCGTTACTGAGATAATACAAGAATGGATTACTGAGATAATACCAGAATAAAATACTGAGATAATACAAAAATGAATTGCTGAGAAGATAAGTAATGAATACTGAGATGATACAAGTGTAGACTATTGAGAATATATGAGAAAGGATTACTGAGATAATATCTAAGCAGATCACAATACCGGAGTAAAATGCAGCGTGTATTCTTGATGAAAAAAATGGGCAATTCCGATTCTGTAATGCTAAATACATATGTTGGCAACAATGGTCCAGAAAGCCGTGCTCTAATTGTGGAAGAATTTTCTTACTGCTGGCGGGTCTTGCTGGTCACACTGGCTGTCATCATGGGCTGCCAGTCCTGTTCCTCCTCATGGCACAATAAAGTATTATTGTCTGGAAAGACGGAAAGATGCCAACTAATTGACCCTGGTAAAACGAGCAGCTAGATTTGAGTGTGTTGCATATGTGTATTTGAGTTAAAAAGAATCATTGAACAGCAAGATAAATGGTGAAATTAATGATGTTATTGTAAACTCTAAGAATGATGTTTTTCCATTTATGTAGATAACTTCTTGGTGCTTCACCTCAGTGACCTGATCAAGATGTCTTTCATTGCTGCTACATCAGATAGCAATCAGCTGAGATTAGCTGGCCTTGCCGCTCTGGAGGTCAGTATTGATTTCACTGTAAAAAAAAAATTATATAAATATATACATATATAAAATCTGCACTGCAAAGGCTGCCTGCAGTGGAAATGTGGCAGCCTCTGCAGTCTTTGCAGTCTGACATAGAGTAGCTTCAATCTATTCCTCCAGTGAGCGATCTACACACCACATATCTTCTTTTTTTGTGTTCACTGGCTGTTAACTCTGCGGAAAGTTCTAGTTGTTCATCCACTTCTGGACTGCAGTCCTGTTTCAGAACCTGGTTGTTGCTTGTGCATCCGTTTGACAGATCTGACTCATTCATGTGCAGACTGTTGGTTTCTTGCCTCTCAGGCAGATGCACTCCGACTTGGAAGGAAGCTCCCAATTAGTCAACTCTTACAACATGCTTTTGGGTAGGCAGTGGGTCTATTCTTGTATTCCCTATAATAGGGCTGGGGAACCCACACAGGGGACACCACTGTATGAAAACTGTAAGTTTTTTTTTTTTATTGAATGAAAAAATATATACCAGACAAACTGTAGCAAACATAATAAAAGCTAATTTGAAAAAAAAAAAAAAAAACATCAGCTTCGAGGCACACTGAGAAATGGGAAACATGTTCATAAACCTCAAAGACAAAGAGCCACACATGACTAAAATGCACATGCACTTAAAGGGTTCAAAGTTTGTAGTATTCTGTTGTTGTTGAATTGACTGGATAAGCAGAGAAATATAGACATACAAACTGTAAATTTGCCTCAGATATAGCATGTTTAGTTTGTTAAATCATCAACATTTTTCTGAAGCTGGTTTGGTTTTGATACATATTTACAGGAAGTGATTCAGCGGTTTGCAGCCGTTCCCGAACCTGAGTTTCCAGGCCATGTGATCCTGGAACAGTATCAAGCCCAGGTGAGAAAATGATACACGCTAGGCTGAAGTTTACTTAGTCTCTAGAGAGTATTTGTGTGAGAAAATGATGCACGTTAGGCTGAAGTTTACTTAGTCTCTAGAGAGTATTTGTGTGAGCAAATGAAACACACTAGGCTGAAGTTTACTGGCATAGTCTCTAGAGAGCATTTGTGTGAGCAAATGAAACACACTAGGCTGAAGTTTACTGGCATAGTCTCTAGAGAGTATTTGTGTGAGCAAATGATACACGCTAGGCTGAAGTTTACTTAGTCTCTAGAGAGTATTTGTGTGAGCAAATGATACACGCTAGGCTGAAGTTTACTTAGTCTCTAGAGAGTATTTGTGTGAGCAAATGATACACGCTAGGCTGAAGTTTACTTAGTCTCTAGAGAGTATTTGTGTGAGCAAATGATACATGCTAGGCTGAAGTTTACTGAGTGTCTAGAGAGTATTTGTGTGAGCAAATGAAACACGCTAGGCTGAAGTTTACTTAGTCTCTAGAGAGTATTTGTGTGAGCAAATGATACACTCTAGGCTGAAGTTTACTTAGTCTCTAGAGAGTATTTGTGTAAGCAAATGAAACACGCTAGGCTGAAGTTTACTTAGTCTCTAGAGAGTATTTGTGTGAGCAAATGAAACACGCTAGGCTGAAGTTTACTTAGTCTCTAGAGAGTATTTGTGTGAGCAAATGATACACGCTAGGCTGAAGTTTACTTAGTCTCTAGAGAGTATTTGTGTGAGCAAATGAAACACGCTAGGCTGAAGTTTACTTAGTCTCTAGAGAGTATTTGTGTGAGCAAATGATACACGCTAGGCTGAAGTTTACTTAGTCTCTAGAGAGTATTTGTGTAAGCAAATGAAACACGCTAGGCTGAAGTTTACTGAGTCTCTAGAGAGTATTTGTGTGAGCAAATGATACACGCTAGGCTGAAGTTTACTTAGTCTCTAGAGAGTATTTGTGTGAGCAAATGATACACGCTAGGCTGAAGTTTACTTAGTCTCTAGAGAGTATTTGTGTGAGCAAATGAAACACGCTAGGCTGAAGTTTACTGACATAGTCTCTAGAGAGTATTTGTGTGAGCAAATGATACACGCTAGGCTGAAGTTTACTGACATGGTCTCTAGAGAGTATTTGTGTGAGCAAATGATACACGCTAGGCTGAAGTTTACTGACATGGTCTCTAGAGAGTATTTTTGTGTGAGCTGAGTTAAGAACTGACATCAGAACGCTCAGACATTTCCATAAGTGCTTGATACCCACCTACAGCAGCCAACACAGAATTCCAGTTTTGAAATATCAGTTTAGCATTCTGATAGTTTGCTGATAGTGTGTCCACCTTGCCTTTCTTCTGAATGTTGTCAGCCATATCCCTTGGTCACTTTCTGCTGTACCATTTTCTTCCAGCTGTAGTCATCTGTTTGGGCCTGTGCTTTGTTTACTCACTTCCAGTAATATTTTAAATGACATTCTGTTAATGCATTGTAAAGTTGTTAAATCACTGTCCATGCCATTAAATTTTTTTGTTAGAGCTCTTGTATATGTGTGTCTGTGTTTGTGAGTGTGTGCATGTATTTGTCAGTGATTAAGTAAGAGAGAGAGAATACATGTTTTTCAAATGAATCTGTCAGTTGCTGTCTCATGAGTTCATGTTGGCTGTAACACTTTCAGTTTCCAGTATTAGTGATACCCTCTAATAGGCTACTGTTTGTTTTCTTGACGTCACGGCCTCATTTGTGTAGTTACTTACCTCTTGTATACTTGTCTAGTCCATATGATGGTTTATAATTTCTCATGTTGACTAATTTGCTGTGTTTGCAGTGTACATTGTGAGAACCTAGTCTTTTTTTATGATGGCTAGCTATGTCCCTGAATATGCTCTTGTATACCAGCCACAGTTTTCTCACTTCACACACTGGGTATTTTCTGCAAGTTGTCTGTAACTAACAGGTAGTGAGAAAGAGCTTTTATACTCTGGCCTGAAGACCTAACACATCACACATCATTGGCAGTATCTGGAAGACTGTCATTGCTTCAAGTTTTATAGGATTAGATATAAAGAAGCCAATTAAATATTTACTATTTTAATCTGTGACTATTGAGAAGCAGTGTCCCTGTCTTTACCCTATGCCATGTTTATCTGTTAGCACTCTTATCAGAGTTTATGATACCCAGTAACAGAACACAGCTGGCTTGTAAGATAAGCTGAGATGTAAGCCCAGTCTGGTCATATTTTTATAGAGATTTTGTTTCTGTTTCTGAAGGTTGGTGCTGCACTGAGACCAGCCTTTTCCCAAGACACGCCATCTGATGTAACTGCTGCTGCCTGCGAGGTATGGATCAAAGGCTCTTTCATGCACTTTGTATTTAGTGATATTGGTAATACCTTTATTAAATTCTCAGTAGCTGAAAATGTTTTAGTTTGAGTGAATGTACATTCATTTTTCTTGTTTTTTGTCTTTAATTAAAGAGAAAAGTGATAAGAATCAAGTATATTAAACTAGAAAAATTCATTAAAGGTGAATCATTAACTCTTTGAGTCCCAGAGGGTTTAGCATTGCAGGCCTAAGGGTTAGTAAAGAGAGACATAAAATTAGCACACCATGTGTTCATTGGGCTTCTAGGTAGGAAACTATGAACGTATAGTGTGATCCTTGGGACTCAAAGAGTTAAGGACCACCATGGGTTACTGTACAATAAATAAGATGTGTAACTGCAGTGTAACTGAAGAAAATTCATTCTTACCACAGAGATGGTGAGAGGGTCGGCTTCATTGCACTAGGTTTTATTCCATAGGATTCAGTCTCTCTCCACAGAGATGGTGAGAGGGTTGGCTTGCACTAGGTTTTATTCCATATGATTGAATCTCTCTCCACAAGCAGCTGGTCATCCACTGTGAGTGCTGCACAAAACCTTAACTCTGTAGCTCCATCGATGACCCTCAAAATACCCTCCTTGTGAACTAAAAAAATATCTTAACCCAGAACCAAACCTGCAACCTTCAGAGTACAAGGCAGATCACTGATCTTAGTCCTTAGAACTATATGTACTTGTGATGCTACACTTATAGATAACCTTGGAGAAATCTGATGTTTTGTAGCAGGTGATGAACAAGACTTTTGACCCACATTGTCTGGACAGCTGTAGACTGAGGATGTTCTAGCCCTGGGCAGAGAGTGGATCAGTCATTCTAATCAATGGCAGCAGTTATGTCAGGATATCAAGGTTTGTGGAAATGGTTCCACAGACATTGTAAAAATGCTTGTATATTAAACTAATCTTGATGCTGTGAATCTGAACAGGTGTGCAGTAAATGGATAGGAAGTGGAGTGGCCAGAGATCACAATGACCTTCGTAGAGTTCACCAGCTCCTGGTCTCTTCTCTGGCCAAGTTAGGCTCAGTTTCTGGAAAACCAAAAACACCTCTCTACAACGAAAGTGCTTCAACCATGGAAAAGTTGGCCGTGATCAGAGCTTGGGCAGAGGTAACTATCTGTTATCATTCTATCAGTGGGTGATGCATGTATGCTGTTTAAGTTCAGGAAATGAGATGATATGTGGTGCACATGTAAGTCAAATATCTTGAAAAGATATAAAACCAAATGAAAAGTAGATCAGCAAGCTTCACAAATATAACAGCCACACACAAAAATGTGAACATTGCGTCAATAGAGCCTTCATCACCACATACATAAATCAAACTGCCATTCTCAAAGCAGAGTATGTTTGTTGCAAATATATTTATCCTGGACTAAAGCTCAGAGTTTTCCAGACAGTCCTTTCTGTAATTGTCTGTACCCCATACATCCAGTGCGTTGATTTGAGAACTGACATCATAGCACTCTGAGCATTCCTATAAGCACTTTGTCCTGCATCTTCAGCAGCCAATGTAGAGTTCCAATACCAATGGTGCCAGTAGCAGTCTGATTAAATGTCCATCTTGCCTTCCCTCTGAGCATCGAGAATCGTCCAGTTCCCCTCGTCACTCCCCGCTGAATCGCTCTCGCCAGACTGTGATTATCAATTTTCTGTTTCAAAATGTACACTTGCCTTAACCACATCTGCTTTATCATGCATCAGTATCTGTTCGCCTGGTAATTTCCCAGCAGGCCGGCATACCCTGAGAAAAGATTCAGACAGTGCTCTTCATCTTTGACCTCTAAAGTGAAGCATGCCTTTGTACGAAGCATGTCTGTCCTCACCTTTCTCAGCATACTTTTTGAGTCAGTTACGATGTGTGTGTGTATCTTATTCTCTTACAGTGGAAAGCTGCAGTCACTGTCTCCACCTCCATTTTTTAAGCTGGATGTTATGGTATCATGTGCTAGGCTCTCTTGCACTAAACATTGACCATTAGCTTTTGCGAAGAACCCCCAGGCACTGCTTCTGCCTTATAACACTGAACCATCTGTATAAATAATCTCATCACCTGAGCAAACATTATCCTGAAATAGTTGCTGAATTTCCGCCTCGGAGGCGCCTGCTGGCCACTCACTGCACTCCCGACTCAAATGTGATTATGACTGTACACAAGTTGGACTGTTCTGCTCGCACTCTGACCCACTCCTTTTTTCCCCCTAATAATCTCCAGTATGCAAACCTGTCTGATCGTGGCCTCCACCTGAGCCATCCTTGACTTCCCTCTTATCAGCCGCAGACACTTAACTTCATCCAGCGCTTCGTGCAAAGGGTGATCTTTGTCTGCAACTACTCTGAGCTATAACTTCACATTCAACAGTCAGCAAACCAAGGATGTATTGCATACACACTACAGTGAGCAGTCCTAGTCCATAAACATTCACTGAGAGGATCAAGTGCTGATATAGAGAGAACAGCATTCTGTACTCTATGTCCATTGCAGTCATAGTCTTAAGTTCATTAAGTCCCTTTTGGCATTTTGTTACAACCGTCTCGATATGATCTTTGAAGGACAGGCTCCTGACAAATATGATTCCCATATACTTTGGTTTTCTCTATGTTGATGTTTCCGCCATCTATCGTGAGACTTGGGAACATCAGCTCAATCCTGCTGTCTAGAGAACACCACAAAACAGACACATTTTCTGTCAAGGTGACAGCACTCATTTCTGTACACCAGTCATTCAGTTTGTCTGCTGTCACCTGTTGCTCCTGGCTGGGTGACAGCACTCATTTCTGTACACCAGTCATTCAGTTTGTCTGCTGTCACCTGTAGCTCCTGGCTGGGTGACAGCACTCATTTCTGTACACCAGTCATTCAGTTTGTCTGCTGTCACCTGTTGCTCCTGGCTGGGTGACAGCACTCATTTCTGTACACCAGTCATTCAGTTTGTCTGCTGTCACCTGTAGCTCCTGGCTGGGTGACAGCACTCATTTCTGTACACCAGTCATTCAGTTTGTCTGCTGTCACCTGTAGCTCCTGGCTGGGTGACAGCACTCATTTCTGTACACCAGTCATTCAGTTTGTCTGCTGTCACCTGTAGCTCCTGGCTGGGTGACAGCACTCATTTCTGTACACCAGTCATTCAGTTTGTCTGCTGTCACCTGTTGCTCCTGGCTGGGATGTTTGTGCTTTATCTCTCCCCTACCTGTAAGCAAATGTCAGATCCTTCAGACCCCTGGGGCTTCTAGGCTTGCAGTGCTGATCCTATACATGTTAAAGAGCACAGGCGAGATGGCGGATCCCTGTGGCAGTCCTGGTGCTATAATACATAGCCAGGTCCATGAAACCAGATAGAGAAAAACCCGAGACGAGAATACAGGAAGCTGCTATCCAATTCACCAACCAGGGACTGACCCCGTTCTCCTCAGTGCAGTCAACAAAATATCATATCTGACTCTATTATACTCCTCCTTGAGATCAAGCACTGCTACCATCATTTCCTGTTTCCTTCATAAACACCAAGGCAAATGTGGCTGCATTTGACCAGGTATCTGTTCTTGGCCTGTAGCTCCCCAGACCACTTGGAAGAAGCTTCCAGTATAGTCCTTAGTGGCTGCTTGGTGCTGATGCTTCACCTAATTCTGGGATGTTCACAAAGTTTTGAGTCTTGACAGTCACTCTATCTTAATTATTTTTTGTGCAAGTCTTCTGTAAGGAAGAAAATAGGGACCTATGCTAAAGCTGTAGAAACATTCTCAGAATTCCATGGACAGAGAAGAACAGAATTACTGAAATCCTAAAATATCTGAACATCAAGAAAAATTGGCTAGTAAACAGCATCTTGTCTCAGAAAACAGAAATATTTTGTCCATTTCAAGTGCCACAGTGTACTAAAAAAAATAATAGACCAAGGTATGCTACCAGGAAAGAGGGACAAGTGCCAGCCCCCACAAAGATGGGCACAGGATATAAGTGTTACCTTGGGTGTAAAAGTGCATGAGGCGCGGAGAGCTGATGAGAGACCAAGTTTCTTTCAGGCAGGCGATGAGAGAGCGACATTGTGCAAAGGATGATGATGAGTCTTCTTAGGAAAGCCTTATGTGCAGTAGTAATGGTGAAAGTGTTTAATTGCTGGTCTGTTTCAGGTGTATGGTGAAAGTGTTTAATTGCTGGTCTGTTTCAGGTGTATGGTGAAAGTGTTTAATTGCTGGTCTGTTTCAGGTGTATGTTGAAAGTGTTTAATTGCTGGTCTGTTTCAGGTGTATGGTGAAAGTGTTTGATTGCTGGTCTGTTTTAGGTGTATGGTGAAAGTGTTTGCTGGTCTGTTTCAAGTTTATGGTGAAAGTGTTTAATTGCTGGTCTGTTTCAGGTGTATGGTGAAAGTGTTTAATTGCTGGTCTGTTTCAGGTGTATGGTGAAAGTGTTTGTTGGTCTGTTTCAGGTGTATGGTGAAAGTGTTTGATTGCTGGTCTGTTTTAGGTGTATGGTGAAAGTGTTTGATTGCTGGTCTGTTTCAGGTGTATGGTGAAAGTGTTTGATTGCTGGTCTGTTTCAGGTTTATGGTGAAAGTGTTTGATTGCTGGTCTGTTTTAGGTGTATGGTGAAAGTGTTTGATTGCTGGTCTGTTTCAGGTGTATGGTGAAAGTGTTTGCTGGTCTGTTTCAGGTTTATGGTGAAAGTGTTTGATTGCTGGTCTGTTTTAGGTGTATGGTGGAAGTGTTTAATTGCTGGTCTGTTTCAGGTGTATGTTGAAAGTTTTTGATTGCTGGTCTGTTTTAGGTTTATGGGGAAAGTGATTCCTGGTCTGTTTCAGGTGTATGGTGAAAGTGTTTGATTGCTGGTCTGTTTCAGGTATATGGTGAAAGTGTTTGACTGCTGGTCTGTTTCAGGTGTATGGTGAAAGTGTTTTATTGCTGGTCTGTTTCAGGTGTATGGTGAAAGTGTTTAATTGCTGGTCTGTTTCAGGTGTATGGTGAAAGTGTTTAATTGCTGGTCTGTTTTAGGTGTATGGTGAAAGTGTTTAATTGCTGGTCTGTTTCAGGTGTATGGGGAAAGTGTTTAATTGCTGGTCTGTTTCAGGTGTATGGTGAAAGTGTTTGATTGCTAATCTGTTTCAGGTGTATGGTGAAAGTGTTTGATTGCTGGTCTGTTTCAGGTGTATGGTGAAAGTGTTTGATTGCTGGTCTGTTTCAGGTTTATGGTGAAAGTGTTAAATTGCTGGTCTGTTTCAGGTGTATGTTGAAAGTGTTTGATTGCTGGTCTGTTTCAGGTTTATGGTGAAAGTGTTTGATTGCTGGTCTGTTTCAGGTGTATGTTGAAAGTGTTAAATTGCTGGTCTGTTTCAGGTGTATGTTGAAAGTGTTAAATTGCTGGTCTGTTTCAGGTTTATGGTGAAAGTGTTAAATTGCTAGTCTGTTTCAGGTTTATGTTGAAAGTGTTTAATTACTGGTCTGTTTCAGGTGTATGTTAAAAGTGTTTGATTGCTGGTCTGTTTCAGGTGTACATTGTGGCAGTTGACAGGGAGAATGATTCCAGGCAGAAAAGAGAGATGAGACGGAGCGGTGCCAGCAGCAACAGTGAGGAGGATGATGATGCTTCTGAACTCAATGGGGAAAGCTTGTTGAGCCTTGTGCAGCCAGAACTGGAAAATTTAAGTCGTCATTGGTTTAGTGCGCTGAAGGATCATGCTCTTCTCTCACTGCCTGCAGGTAGTGTTTGTTGTGAAACTGATACACTGTTTGTCTGTGATTTCTGATTGAAACCTCACATTTGTGACATTTTCCAAGTTGAAACCCTAAATTATTAACATTTATTAATTGTTTTCTTTACCAGGCAGTGTTTAAGAAAAGATATTATAAGCATTTTATATATAGAGATATCTATATATATGTGTGTGTGCATGTGTTTGTGTGGTGTTTACTAAGAGTCTTCACAAACTTCCAACTTCTCTGTTTGGTTTTGAGATAATGTTAGCAATTCCAAACTATACTCCATTCCCAAAATAATCAGTTGCTGATAGTGTGTCAAATATTTTCTTTTCCATGTCCTCTGATACCAGCATGAGTTCTTTCCCTATCTGTAAAACTATCTCTTCCACACGTCGTTGGAAAGACAGACCTGTCAAAAGTCATTCCTAAATATTTAAATGAATTATCTCACTTTTTATTACTGTTATTTATAGTGAAGTCCAGCAACAGATTTCTTAACAGTTCTGTTATCTATAAACACCACAATACTTCTTCTTCTTCTTCTTCTTTCGTTCGCATGAAATAAATTGTCTATATCTGCAAAGCTGTCTCTAGTATGAATTTCACTGTCTTTTGTAATTCACTAAGCGGCCCGTAAAGTTTGACTTCCACAAGTGTCTCTTTTGGCCAAAGGTTTTGCCTGAAAGCGTTGAATCTGGGACAGTCTTGAAGGATGTGATCTGTTGTTTCAGGTGCCAGTCCACAAGTACACATGGCTGATTGGCCAATCTTAAATTTGTTGTACATGTGGGAGCGAAGTCGATTGTGCCCTGTTCTAAGGCGAAGGATAATGACTTGCTCTGGTCTGTCCATAATATGGTAATCATCTTGTGCCAGTTTCGGTGGCATTCTGATTGATTTGATCATTCTCTTCTTCTGTTGATAAGAGACTGGTATGTCAGGTTGTTCTTCAGTTGCACCTTCCTTAGCTAGTTTATCAGCTTTTTCGTTTCCGTGAACTCCAATACTGTCACCTTATCTGCGTTGATGACCGAGCCTGCTTCCTCTCACCACTCACCTACCTCGTAACTGAGAACTGCAGCTGTCTAGATATTTATGTTCTGTATCTCCCCAATGTGTAGACTAAAACATGGTCAGTCAAAGTAAACATTCTCCCTATACTCATTGTCTCTATTGCCCCTGTTTCTCTTGTGTACACAAGCAAGACTGTTAATCTTACAGGACTGTTGCAAGTCAGTTGACAATCCAGGGACTGACCTCCATATCCTTAAGTGTGTATGGTAAAAAAAAAAAAAAAACAGTCACATCTGACCCTGTTGTATACATCATCTAAATCCAATGCCACCGCTTCTGCTTCATGTTTATGTTGAAGCCCTTCATCTACATTGTAAGGTAGGATCGCAGCGATTTTCCATATTTCCTTTCTTGGTCAGTAACTTCTTAATCCCTTTGTTAAGAGTCTATATTTTACAAGGTAATCCAGTAATTTGCCTGCCACTATCTTTTCAAAAATCTTGCCAAATGTAATCTGTAACTGTTCATTTTGGTATCATTTTTATTTGGCTTCAGGAGTGCTTTGAGGTAGCTACTGTTTGTTATTGGTAATTTACTGAGAGCTTCTGTTATTGAAGAAACTAAGCAAATACCAGTCTCTACAGTTAACTAACAACAAAAATACACTATGTTGCACTTACATAATACAGGTAGTGTGTACACATGAGCCCAAAGTTTGGCAGCTCTAGTCGCAACAAAAATATCTTAGGCTTCCTAGAAGAACATTACATTTTTGTTATTAAATGATGTATTATGTATTATAACAGTCTGTTTCTTTATGTGTCTAGACACATAATCAGTCTGAAACCACTTTCTTCATTGATGAATCAAGAATCAACATCACAGCACTCGGGACACTCCCATAAGTGCTCCATCCCCCATCTTCAGCTGCAAGTGAAGAGTTCCAGTTTCGATGGCACCAGTAACCGTCTCATTGTACTTACCCACTTCCCCAGAGTGTTCAGCGTCAGCCAGATCCCCTGTTAACGCTTCGCAGCGCCATTCTCTTCAGACCATAATGATCTATTTGCGCCTCTGCACAGTTCACTCGCTCCCAGAGGTCACTCACAAAATCTAACTTGTCATACATCAGTTCACCACCAAGTGGTGCAGAGCCAGCCAGTCTATCTGCCTGCTCATTTCCCAACATAAGTGCATTTCCTGGAGAAAATATCCAAATCATGCTAACTACCTGGGATCTCAGAAGTGATGCTTGCCACTCTGCACGAAGCATGCCTGTCTTCAGCTTTCTCAGCATGCTCTGTGAGTCCAAAGAAGATATTCTTTCAATGCAGGAAGTAAACGGTCACCCTGACATTGCCTGCTTTCTTTACTTCCTGTACATAATACATCAGAGGTAGTTACACTTTTTTGAAAATGAAACTGAGTCTCTGAAACTGTGGATATACAGAAGGACATGTTGTATTTCATGGAAACACAAACAATCAGATACAGATGTTCTGGAAAGACTGAATGAAAAGAGAATCACTACAATGAATTTTTTTTAAAAAGAGAAAGAGAGACAATTTACATATTCTAACAACAATCAAAGACATAGCTCTCCTTTAACCCTTTCCCTGCTGCGCCCTCCGCCAGCCAACGCAACCACTGTGCTAAGCCAGGCGAGTGCTAATCTTTCCTCCTGTGCTGAATACCCTTTTCCCCTCCAAAAGCAGAAGATGTGCTTGCGGCGCGGGGTAAAAATTGTACACCTAAAATAAAAACTCTTTGAAGGCGCATGGTTGACCTTTGCGCTGACAAGTCGAACGCGTTTGGGCTACGCCATGAAAACTCATTAACAAAAAGAAAACACTACAAACTTACAAAGCAAACACAAAACACTTTAGTAAGCAAATACATGGTTTTTATTATTATTAATATCTTTTTGTCTGAAATATTTTAAAACAAGGTGCGACACACAATGCCAAATCACAGTCCTTGCACATGTATCTGGGTTTCCCGTCGTTTTTTGCTTTCTGCGCATATCACACTTTTCATGTTGGGAATTTCTTCTGTATTTGAACAAAGAAGACACAAACTATAGACTGCACAATTTATTGCCTGGCATATTTCGCTGTATCTCGTCAGGTGCATACTACAGTAACAAGTGATAAATATGTTGCAAATAGCTGAATCCTAGAAACTGAAACACAAATTCGAGTACATTCTACACTGTCTGTTTCACTAAGGTAACTACCATTTCTTTCTGCCTACAGAAATTTCTGTAGAAGTTTAATTTCTTCTGTGATGTTACGGACTCTATTATTGAAGGGAAATGCCTTTTGTACTAAACGAAGTGGCAGATTTTCACTTTTTTTGTCCTCCTACACTTTTTCTCTTTTCCTTGCAATATTTCTGTAGAATTTCTCTTAAAGTGAAATTCGGCAACAGGGGTGTTTTTCCACACAAATGCACAGTACACCAACCACGCTTCACAAAGCAACAGGATAACGTGTAACACATCTAAATGCACCTGAACGCACGTGACATGATGTTTAATTAATTATTACTTCTGTGATCTGTTTGCCGAAAGAGCTAAGAGCTTAAATTTAGAATTTACATTAAAAATAATTGAATGCAGGACCTTTCGATTGTAAGGCAGACGTGATACCAACTACACTAGAAATTCATATGAAAATTGGTACTGAAAATAGGACCAGTATTGTACACTTTGATAGAATGACACAGTTTTGTCAGTTGTATAGTATATTAGAAACATTAGTAATAATTATCATGTCAGTACGTGACCATGTCTTCATTTTGATTATTTGGGATTAATTTCAAATCCAGTCAATGTAGATAGCTGGGTCATATTGTCAGTCTTGCTCCCGGCTAGAAGTACACGTGTCCGACGGTGTGCCGCGAAGATAACCCAGCTCATATAACTCAACACGTTTCAAAGTGATCTTTACTATTACTCCTCGAAAGAAACTCCATTAATTATTCATTTTCTTGTTGTTGTTTTTTTTTAAAGTAGACTAACGCAAAACCAGAAATATATTTTAGGGCAACAAATATACCGTTCACCGACCATGCTTCTGTGGTAACAGAGCAACAGGATAATGTGAAATACATCTAAATACACCTAAACGAATGTGATATGTGTTTTCATTGTATGAAAATGTGTCACTTTAATCAGTTTTAGGTAATGTATATTGCCATTTCACCCCCGAGAATTACAGTTCTTAGCAATCTGTAAGAAAAGTCAAAGACGAGTTAGCTCATCCTTAGCAGTGAGGGCACAGAAAACAGAAGACGAGTTAGCTGGTCCTTAGCAGTCTACCGGGCAGACGAGTCATCTCGTCCATAGCAGCGAAAGGGTTAAAAAACCCATACGGGTGGGGGAGGGGGTGTTGAGGGCAAGAGAGCAGCAGGTAGACAATGATACAAGTGAAAGCACAACATCAAAAGATGGACTCAGTCAGATTTGTAGAAGAATGCCTGTGAGTTTATTTAGAATCAGAGAGATTGTTTCTATGCTTTTATTTATTTATTTTATAAATAATTTGTTGGTAATAATGTGAGCTGAGCATTTATTTCAGGTCAATTGTCTTGTTACAAACAGTTACTTGTGACATTTGATCAGCACGATAGTGGGAGTGTATTTTGTTGTTCACTTTAACCAGCCCTGCATTAGTTGCTCATCATTTCTGTATTGTCTACTCCAGAATATTCCAACCAGCTTCCCTCAGAAGGTGGGGCCTTCTACCACCCAGACACAGTAGAAGCAGTTATTCCTCACTACAGGAAATCATGGCCATCCATCCTTCATGGCCTGGCCATCTGGCTCAATGACACAGGCTTTGAGTACTCCACCTTGGAGCCGAGCGACGACAAGGACACAGGCAGGTTGTTACTGGGAGCTTCAGCAGCTCAGGCAGCCAATGCTCCTGCCAACATGCGAGCCAGGTCCATGAATCAAGACAGGTTCTTCCTGATTTTAGGTAAGACAGAGACCATCAGAAACATGTTTTCCTTGCTGCAAACTCAATTCATATACTTAGGGCAGCCAGTAACACTCACATCCGTGAAGCTCAGTCACAGATACAATCAAGGGCAGCCAGTAACACTCGCATACGTGGAGCTAAGTCACAGATACAATCAAGGGCAGCCAGTAACACTCACATCCGTGAAGCTCAGTCACAGATACAATCAAGGGCAGCCAGTAACACTCACATCCGTGAAGCTGTCACAGATACAATCAAGGGCAGCCAGTAACACTCACATACGTGAAGCTAAGTCACAGATACAATCATTTTTCAATAAACTGCCTGAACAAAATATATAATTGAATTTAAAAAATGAAGAAAAAAAAAAACTTGTTCAACTTTTTAAAAAAATGTTTCTATATAGGTTAAAATATGATTTTTCCAGATCATTAAATGTTGAATTATAAATCGATGTCATAATACTTGGGCACTCCCATAAGCGCTCTGTCCCCATCTTTTGCAACAAGCGAAGAGTTCCAGGGACTACCCGGGACCTCTGAAGCGATGCTTGCCACTCTGAATGAAGCATGCCTGTCTCCACCTTTCTTAACATACACTGTGAGGCTTTGCAGATCAGAGTAGAAATAAATGTAGGCTAAAGTTTCTCTAAAGTACATACCACCCCCTCCCCCCCCCCCCCCCCCTCCCTCCACCTGGTGGATGCTAGATCAGTTAGGCAGGGGTTCATCTTTTGTGTTTAAATTATTGTTCATGTTATTTGTAATAATTATTTTAATATTAACCTTCATGTGTAATGTGATTTATAAGAAGAAAATTAACTTCATTTACTATAATCTGCCTTTCCTATGTTTAACGATGGAGTAAGAAGTACAGACTCAACACAACACAAATAGGTTACAGCATCTTTATTTTGGTTTGTTTAAAAAATGTAGATTTCCAGGAGTGTTCTGTATGATCACTTTTTTTTTTTTTTAAATGGGTAAAAAGCCAAATAATGTTGGGGTTATGAATGTTTTATAATGATGTAACTGATGTTATTGAACGATAGAGAACATTTTAGTTTGCACTGAAGGGTTAGTCAAGACAAGCCATCAGTGTTTACTGCTCTTGTTAGACTTTGTTTAACTAGACAATTGTTTAAGGTGTTTATCTAGACAATTGTTTAAAGTGTTTATCTAGACAATTGTTTAAGGTGTTTATCTAGACAATTGTTTAAGGTGTTTATCTAGACAATTGTTTAAAGTGTTTATCCAGACAATTGTTTAAAGTGTTTATCTTAACAATTGTTTAAGGTGTTTATCTAGACAATTGTTTAAAGTGTTTATCTAGACAATTGTTTAAGGTGTTTATCTAGACGATTGTTTAAAGTGTTTATCTAGACAATTGTTTAAGATGTTTATCTAGACAATTGTTTAAGGTGTTTATCTAGACGATTGTTTAAAGTGTTTATCTAGACAATTGTTTAAAGTGTTTATCTAGACAATTGTTTAAAGTGTTTATCTAGACGATTGTTTAAAGTGTTTATCCAGACAATTGTTTAAGGTGTTTATCTAGACAATTGTTTAAAGTGTTTATCTAGACAATTGTTTAAAGGTTTAAAGTGTTTATCTAGACAATTGTTTACGGTGTTTATCTAGACAATTGTTTAAGGTGTTTATCTAGACAATTGTTTAAAGTGTTTATCTAGACAATTGTTTAAGGTGTTTATCTAGACGATTGTTTAAGGTGTTTATCTAGATAATTGTTTAAAGTGTTTACCTAGACAATTGTTTAAAGTGTTTATCTAGACAATTGTTTAAAGGTTTAAAGTGTTTATCTAGACAATTGTTTAAAGTGTTTATCTAGACAATTGTTTAAGGTGTTTATCAAGACAATTGTTTAAGATGTTTATCAAGACAATTGTTTAAAGTGTTTATCTAGACAATTGTTTAAGGTGTTTATCTAGACAATTGTTTAAGGTGTTTATCTAGATAATTGTTTAAGGTGTTTATCTAGATAATTGTTTAAGGTGTTTATCTAGACAATTGTTTAAGGTGTTTATCTAGACAATTGTTTAAGGTGTTTATCTAGATAATTGTTTAAGGTGTTTATCTAGACAATTGTTTAAAGTGTTTATCTAGACAATTGTTTAAAGTGTTTATCTAGACAATTGTTTAAGGTGTTTATCTAGACAATTGTTTAAAGTGTTTATCTAGACAATTGTTTAAGGTGTTTATCTAGACAATTGTTCAAAGTGTTTATCTAGACAATTGTTTAAGGTGTTTATCTAGACAATTGTTTAAGGTGTTTATCTATACAATTGTTTAAGGTGTTTATCTAGACAATTGTTTAAGGTGTTTATCTAGATAATTGTTTAAGGTGTTTATCTAGATAATTGTTTAAGGTGTTTATCTAGACAATTGTTTAAGGTGTTTATCTAGATAATTGTTTAAGGTGTTTATCTAGATAATTGTTTAAGGTGTTTATCTAGATAATTGTTTAAGGTGTTTATCTAGATAATTGTTTAAGGTGTTTATCTAGATAATTGTTTAAGGTGTTTATCTAGACAATTGTTTAAGGTGTTTATCTAGACAATTGTTTAAGGTGTTTATCTAGACAATTGTTTAAAGTGTTTATCTAGACAATTGTTTAAGGTGTTTATCTAGACAATTGTTTAAGGTGTTTATCTAGACAATTGTTTAAAGGTTTAAAGTGTTTATCCAGACAATTGTTTAAGGTGTTTATCTGGACAATTGTTTAAAGTGTTTATCTAGACAATTGTTTAAGGTGTTTATCTAGACGATTGTTTAAGGTGTTTATCTAGATAATTGTTTAAAGTGTTTATCTAGACAGTTGTTTAGGGTGTTTATCTAGACGATTGTTTAAGGTGTTTATCTAGATAATTGTTTAAAATTTTAAAGTGTTTATCCAGACAATTGTTTAAGGTGTTTATCTAGACAATTGTTTAAAGTGTTTATCTAGACAATTGTTTAAGGTGTTTATCTAGATAATTGTTTAAAGTGTTTATCTAGACAATTGTTTAAGGTGTTTATCTAGATAATTGTTTAAAGTGTTTATCTAGACAATTGTTTAAGGTGTTTATCTAGATAATTGTTTAAAATATTTATCTAGACAGTTGTTTAAGGTGTTTATCTAGACGATTGTTTAAGGTGTTTATCTAGACAATTGTTTAAGGTGTTTATCTAGATAATTGTTTAAAGTGTTTATCTAGACAATTGTTTAAGGTGTTTATCTAGATAATTGTTTAAGGTGTTTATCTAGACAATTGTTTAAAGTGTTTATCTAGACAATTGTTTAAAGTGTTTATCTAGACAATTGTTTAAAGTGTTTATCCAGACAATTGTTTAAAGTGTTTATCTAGACAATTGTTTAAGGTGTTTATCTAGACGATTGTTTAAGGTGTTTATCTAGATAATTGTTTAAGGTGTTTATCTAGATAATTGTTTAAGGTGTTTATCTAGACAATTGTTTAAAGTGTTTATCCAGACAATTGTTTAAAGTGTTTATCTAGACAATTGTTTAAGGTGTTTATCTAGACGATTGTTTAAGGTGTTTATCTAGATAATTGTTTAAAGTGTTTATCTAGACAATTGTTTAAGGTTCTGATGATCACTGTAATGTTATTACTTTTAATTCCTTGTGTTGTCCAAGCTAGTGGATTGAAAATGGAGATATTCTTTTTTTAAGTAGTTTCCCAAACATGGACATTTTGCCTATCATCTGACATAAAGCAAACATTTTATAAATGTGCACTCACCAAAACTTGACATCAGAGTACCGGTATTCATTTTAAAACACTGAATATTCTGTGTGTTTTTGTTTTTTGTTTTTTTAAATTGTCATATTTCTTTCTAAAGAAGTGGAATTTTGGGGACTGATGTTTGTTTGTTTTCTTTGAACAGGAATTAGCATGGAAGCTCTGTGTAACTCAGCCTCACGGCTTGATGACAGCACTGTCCAGCATTGTCTGAAAGCTCTGAAGGCATTGCTGGGATCTGTGTGGCCTCGCTGTCAGCTGGGCAGGGATGCAGTCTTATGTAGAGAACTTCTCAATGTTATGCACAGGTACTGATTGTAGTTTGTTTGTTCCTGTTGAAAAATTTTCGTCTTTCAGTATAAGCAGGAAAAATATTAATTGTTTGTGATAAAATGTGTGTAACATGTTAGATAGAAGTAAACGGTTTTTTAAAAAAACGCACACATGCACGTGCACACACACAACACACGAAACTGGAGGACCAGAATAGGAAATCCCCCATAAATGAGATAAAGGAATATAAAACTATTGAACATTATCAGCCACCATGTAAAAAATATAACCAGAATCAAAGAGATCCCCCACAAAAGTTTCCCAAAAAACTAAAATAAATTTGCGATGCAGTGAGAGAGTTGCTTCATGTAGAAAGTAATGTTGCAGTGAGAGAGTTGCTACATGTAGAAAGTAATGTTGCAGTGAGAGAGTTGCTACATGTAGAAAGTAATGATGCAGTGAGAGAGTTGCTTCATGTAGAAAGTAATGATGCAGTGAGAGAGTTTCTTCATGTAGAAAGTAATGATGCAGTGAGAGAGTTGCTACATGTAGAAAGTAATGATGCAGTGAGAGAGTTGCTACATGTAGAAAGTAATGATGCAGTGAGAGAGTTGCTACATGTAGAAAGTAATGATGCATTGAGAGAGTTTCTACATGTAGAAAGTAATGATGCAGTGAGAGAGTTGCTACATGTAGAAAGTAATGATGCAGTGAGAGAGTTTCTACATGTAGAAAGTAATGATGCAGTGAGAGAGTTGCTACATTTAGAAAGTAATGATGCAGTGAGAGAGAGTTGATACATGTAGAAAGTAATGATGCAGTGAGAGAGATTGCTACATGTAGAAAGTAATGATGCATTGAGAGAGATTGCTACATGTAGAAAGTAATGATGCAGTAAGAGAGATTGCTACATGTAGAAAGTAATGATGCATTGAGAGAGATTGCTACATGTAGAAAGTAATGATGCAGTGAGAGAGATTGCTACATGTAGAAAGTAATGATGCAGTGAGAGAGAGTTGCTACATGTAGAAAGTAATGATGCAGTGAGAGAGAGTTGCTACATGTAGAAAGTAATGATGCATTGAGAGAGAGTTGCTACATGTAGAAAATAATGATGCAGTGAGAGAGATTGCTACATGTAGAAAGTAATGATGCAGTGAAAGAGATTGCTATATGTAGAAAGTAATTATGCCGTAAGATAGAGTTGCTACATGAAGAAAGTAAGGACTACATGTAGAAAGTAATGATGTATTGAGAGAGATTGCTACATGCAGAAAGTAATGATGCAGTGAGAGACATTGCTACATGTAGAAAGTAACAATGCAGGGAGTGAGATTGCTACATGTAGAAAGCAATTTTGAGATTTAAAGCCTGGTCAAACAAAACTTCCACCAGACTGGGATAGTCATATAACAGAAACAAAAATTGTCTACGTAAATGACAAACAACAAAATCTACTAGGAATGGAAAAAGAGAGTTGTCCTTTGCTTAGGTACATGGAGGTGTAATATCACCCCAGGACTACCCCAAGGCTCTGCAATTTCACGTGATCTTGAAGGTGTAAACAAGCAAGAATGCAGAACTTGAAGTACTGGGTGTTGGAAGGATATTGACATTTGCAGATGATGTTCTTGCAAATAAGGCAGGGGAGCGACAAGGACAGACAGCCCAGAACTACAGGCAAAGAAAGGGTGAGACAGATATACAATCAGACAGTTACTGGTGGCATCAAAATTGGAACTCTTTGCTTACTGCTGAAGATGAGGATGGAGTGCTTATGAGAGTGTCCCAAATGCTATGATTCGATTATTAATTTGACATTCATTCAAGAGAGACACAAGAGAAATGTCCCTAATGATGTGACATGAATATAGTCTGTTTCCTTTTGGGGAAAGAGGCAAATGATTCAGTAGTCTGGGATAGCAATATTTGTTCAACACCATGACCCTTTGAACTTGTCACCCAGTCTGTAAATCCCATTTCCCTGGACTCGTGACAAAAACATGCAAAAATAATGTTCACATAATCTTCTTCTTCTTCACATTGACTGGCTGTAAGCTCCGGGGGGAACGTTCTGGTTGTTTGTCTACTTCTAGACTAGTCCTGTTCCAGAACCTGACTTTTGTGTGTACATCCATTTTGCAGGTCTGACTCATTTGCATGCAGGCTGTTGGTTTCTTGCCTGTCTGACTTTGAAGGAAGCTCCCAGCTAGTCGACTTTACACCATGCTTTTGGGCAGGCAGTGAGTCTATTCTTGTTTTCCCCACAAATGAGCCCCGGAACCCATTCGGGACGGTTCACATAATCAAAACTAACTGACATGACATGATAAAGTTCTGTGGTCATTTTTCATAATTCTCTCTCAAGATTGGTCAGCAAATTTTGCTAGTCTTAACAAGTTAAACATAGAGCATAGGAAAGTTTAACATAGAGCATAGGAAAGTTTAACATAGAGCATAGGAAAGTTTAACATAGAGCAAAGGAAAGTTTAACATAGAGCATACATAGGAAAGTTTAACATAGAGCATAGGAAAGTTTAACATAGAGCATAGGAAAGTTTAACATAGAGCATAGGAAAGTTAAACATAGAGCATAGGAAAGTTTAACATAGAGCATAGGAAAGTTTAACATAGAGCATAGGAAAGTTTAACATAGAGCATAGGAAAGTTTAACATAGAGCATAGGAAAGTTTAACATAGCGCATAGGAAAGTTTAACATAGAGCATAGGAAAGTTTAACATAGAGCATAGGAAAGTTTAACACAGAGCATAGGAAAGACATTTCAAAGTCTTCATCAACAGAGAACTAAACGCCCCCTCCCCAAAACTGACTAGAAAATTCCCTTGGGAAAAAAACAGTGCACTTTATTGTCTATGTTTGAGAAGTAAAATTGTGTTTGAATCTTCTTTCTTTATGTCTGCAATAATTGTGAAATGTTGTGTTGTAAGTTAAGGCCCGTTCCCATGTAGGACGCAGTTTTTTGTTATTTTAAGCCCTACCCTGGCTGTTGCCGGGGGCCCTAATATAACCCAATCTATGGGTTGAGCGGGGTTTCTGGGACCTGTCTCTGGGTGATCCTCATCCAAATGGTGGCACTGGGTTTGACCAGGTGTTTATCGCTCGGTGTGATATCCTGGTGTGGTAAAACATCAATCCAGAAATATTGTGCATGCTTACAAAATATTGTGTAGACATATAAAGCAGATATTGCTTGTTGACAGAGTGGTGTTAACCAGAGAAGGCGTGGAGAACCATCAGCTAGCTGTGGATGTTGTCAGGCTAGTTGTCACTGCAGCCAAAGAAAACCTCCAGAGCCAGAGAGCCAAACTGAAAGGTAGAAATTGCTGCCATGCATTGCTGTTGATGTATGCAACATGTTGGTTGTGTTTACCTTAAGGCCTTCTGTTTTATTGATTGTTGTCATCTTCTTTACCCTGACCAGCTGTAAACTCCGGCGGAAAGTCCTGGTCTGGACTTTAGTCTTGTTCCAGAACTTGAGTTTTGTGTGCACAACCATTTTAGAGATCTGGCTTATTTGTGTGCAGACTGTTGGTTCCTTACCTCTAAGGCAGATGCAGTCCAACTTCAAAGGAAGCACCCCTTATTAGTTGACTTTTGTGACATGCATGTAAGGGTGACAGTAGGTCTGTTCCTTTTTACCCCCAAAGTGGGGCCCCAAAACCCACACAGGGATTTATTGTATTTACCAGTGGTCTATTTTTTTCTGATGAATGTATATTCTGCTTTGTACATACATCTTTGAGAAACTGCTTGCACTGGTTAGTACGCTAAGTTTTGAGTCGGTCGGTAGTCATATGTTGACATTTCCATTAGAGTGGATTTTAAAAAAAAAGAATTTAGCTGGGCTCCCCAGTCCCACCCAGTCTGAAAATATTTACTGTGAAATGTCAGGGGAAGTAAAGGTGGTCAGTATGATATTGCCCAAATTATCCAATTAATGAGTATTCATATGTGGATACGATTATGGCTCTAGCACCATATACCAATTGTGGCTGAAGCTGTGAAAATGGATACTTACAATATATTCTTCAGCAGGTGAAAAGGGAATGTTTACTTTTACTTTACTAACTGTACTAGATATTTTCAAGTACAGTGTGAAACCTGATTAAATTAGCCAGTGGTTGAACCCTTTTTAAAAAACAATACTGCCAAGCTCAGTAGAAGGAAAGAGGAGAAGAGGCAGACCAAGAAAGACCTGGTTACAGAACCTGACTGATTGGACAGGCCTCAAGCATGCAACCATGAAGTCCATCGCAACTGACCGCGAAAACTGGAGAGAGATGATCAGACAGTCAACAGAAACGTAATGTTATGGGATGATGATGATGATGAATTTGTATGAATAAATCCATTTTCCAAAAGCTGATCCTCACCTAAGTGCTTTTTGTTTGGCAGCTATGCTTGTTCCCCGTCATTCTAAAAAGTTGCCTGGAAAGGGGGGAGCAATACAGTTAGTAGGACTCTCCATAAACAAACCTCTATCGTTTGCTAGAAACTGACATTTATGGGGACCTAGCACAAACCAGAAGTATTAGGTTTTGTTTTCTAGGGACGAGAGGATTAAGATATTCACAGCCATGATACTGAAGTTGCAGTCAGCAATGCTAGGATAACAGGCAGAGCACACACGTGCATCAAAAAAAGTTTTACAGCAAGCAAGCATGTCGAATACCAGCATTAGACCGAAGATCGGAACAAGATTATGCCTGAATTCCAATAAAAGACAGGCAATAGTTTGACCATCCAGTAAGAATGCAGCCAGATCCAGCCGTATATGGGAACATCTGGGCAGAGCGCGAGAGGAAGGCCGAGAAAGAAATGGTTAAATAATGCAAAAAATATGAAAAATACATTATTTGTAAATAGCTTATGAATCTATGGCCACTTAAAACTGATTTTCATTTAAGTAGATTAGTGGACAGATAAAAATAGTAATGAAGATATCTTGAAAGAAACTGGCTTAAGAAGAGAATTGATTGCACACATCAGAAAGAGACAATCTATATTCTTTGATCATGTGATGAGAAGGAGAAAACTGAAGTACATCGTGACGGTAGGAAAGTTAGAGGGGAGGAGAGGCAGAGGGGGACAGAGAGAACAGATGCTGGACAGTTTGACATCATGGCATGGAAAATCATCTGTGTCAGATTTGATTGAAAGTACACGAGACAGAAGGTTGTGGATAGACATGACTACCAACGCCACACGGCATGGACTCTAAGAAGAAGATTTTTTTGTTTTCTCAACAGACCAAATGAAATATGGACTTATAATAAATGATGTTGTATTTGAATAGGTTTCTAAACAGATTTATATCATGTTCCCTTTTCAAGAATCACCACATGAAGAAAGAGAAAAAGAGCAGTCCTTTGAAAAGCCAAACACTGTTATTGGAGAAGGTGGCCTCACAGGGGATTTCCCGCCAGAAACATCGATTGTGTTCGCTACCCTAGAGGCCTGTCTCTGTGCAATAGTCAAACATTTACCAGCCCTCAACCCATCCTCCATGAGTACTGGGTTCCAACCACCAGCACATTTGTCCAAGTTTGGATCAGAGACCTTTGACCTGATTGCTGATGTCATGACCTTGATGGTGGACCTTGTAGAGTTGTGTTCCCCTGTTGGTAAGTTGAAATCAAGCAGAGCGAACACACTTGTACAGGACATTAGGATAAAGATATATTGGAAAGTGATTAGTATGGTATCTAGTGCATTCACTTCCAGACAAATCTCTGCTACCCATTTTATGAGGCTGGGTCAGGGGCAGTGGTTAATCCTACAACTCCTGTGGGTAGAACTCAAAACCATTGTCTCTGTTGTCAGTCATGTACTGATTACTACATCACACTCAAAACCTTTGTCTCTGTTGTCAGTCATGTACTGATTACTACATCACACTCAAAACCATTGTCTCTGTTGTCAGTCATGTACTGATTACTACATCACACTCAAAACCATTGTCTGTGTTGTCAGTCTTGTACTGATTACTACATCACACTCAAAACCATTGTCTGTGTTGTCAGTCATGTACTGATTACTACATCACACTCAAAACCATTGTCTGTGTTGTCAGTCATGCACTAATTACTACATCACACTCAAAACCTTTGTCTGTGTTGTCAGTAATGTACTGATTACTACATCACACTCAAAACCATTGTCTCTGTTGTCAGTCATGTACTGATTACTACATCACACTCAAAACCATTGTCTGTGTTGTCAGTCTTGTACTGATTACTACATCACACTCAAAACCATTGTCTGTGTTGTCAGTCATGTACTGATTACTACATCACACTCAAAACCATTGTCTGTGTTGTCAGTCATGCACTAATTACTACATCACACTCAAAACCTTTGTCCGTGTTGTCAGTAATGTACTGATTAATACATCACACTCAAAACCATTGTCTCTGTTGTCTGTCATGCACTAATTACTTCATCACACTCAAAACCATTGTTTCTGTTAAGCCAAATTTCCAAACTTAAAAAAAAAAAAAAAAATTTCCATTTCTATAGTAAACTCAGGCCAAATCACTGAGCAGCAGTTGATTGGAAAGGGAAGGACTTTGTCATTTGCTGATGACATTTTGATGATTTATCAACGAGGGCGTGATGGACAAGAGATCGCCAGCACAATGCACAAAGAACTCGATCAAATAGCCGCCTGGGGTGATAGTTCCATTGCCTATGTCAAAGGCATCATTGTCATAGTTCTCTTTGAACAATCACATTGTCAAGTCGGACTTACCAGAAGTGAAAATGCGTGATAATGTATTGATCAGAACCAACGTTATGACGTTTCTCAGGGTGAGGTTCGATCGCAGCTTGTCATTCAGGGAACACGTTGACCATGTGATAACAAAAGCATGCAAAGGTCTATCTGCAATGATGATTATGGCTGCTTCCATTATCGAGCAAAGACTACTAATACTTCTATTCTACGGTCTGGTCCTTTCCCCCATTGAATACGCTCTGGCCATCCTCACTGCCAGTGCTACCCAGATTGAAGGACTCGAAAAGGTGCAAAATGAAGCCATGCGCATTATTTTGGGATGTACAAAAGACACATCCTGTGGAGCAATGAGGTATCTACTTGACTTTCCAACAATGAACCAAAGGATCAGGATGTGGAGGGCTCGGGCATATCTCAAAATATGTGCTGAAAAGAAACACCCACTGCATCAAGCGCTTTTTAGTGAAAAGGGCGACAGACTGAAGAGGGGGAAATCGTGGCTAGGTCGGGCAGAAGATGTTATTAGGCAAATATGCAGCCTAACTGACATCATACCTGGTGCAAAATGGATACCTGTGCCTCAGGCGTTTATTTGTACATTTTCCTGTATTGTCACACTCAACAGGCGATGTAGAGAAGAGAATCCTGTTGCTGTTAATGCAGAGGTCAACGCTCCCATCGGTGAAAATTCAGAAGCAGATGCACTAATCTATACAGATGGATCCGTTATACGCCAAAGAAGAAGCGCATGGGCATTCACAGCAGACTCAGCAGGCAGAACAGTCAAAGAAGCCAATGGCGCCTTCTCCATGACAACCAGCAGCATGACGATGGAGGTGATGGCAGTGACGCAAGCGTTTGCCTGGCTTGAAACACAAAAATACACCCGCGTATGTATACTCAGTGATTCAGTGAGTATGATCCGGAGAGTTCAGGCAGGTTCAGTGCGAAGACAATGGCTTGAATCATTACAGAAATCCACTGTGCGTGGAGTCACATTTATATTTGTTCCGGGACACGCAGGCGTAGATTAAAATGAAAGAGCTGACAGGTTTGCTGTATCCGTTATCACTACCGACGGTCAGCCTATGGATCATGCTGATATTATCAATGCCCTCAGAGAAATGGGAAGGATAGAGGACTTTGGTGGCAGTGAATCCACATCATTCGCCAGAATGGCAGACTTGGGAATTAAGATCGGCACAGCAAAAAACGAGACGCACGCCAGACACACCAGAAGACTTGTTAATCAACATAGAACTGGTACTATTAGCCATCGTACGTTGGGGTTCATACTGAGGGGAGGATCTGAGCACCTATGGACATGTCCGGAGTGCAATGATGATAACCCAACTAACTAACTAACTAACTAACTAACTAACTAACTAACTAACTCAGGCCAAATGTCAAACCACAAATGTTATTTGGTACACCTGGAGAATAGCTGATCTAATGTCAGTTGTATAGGAAATTAAAAGTAAAATGCTGATTTGTTACAATGGACAGATCATTGACTTTCAACTGGACACAGATGATTTAGCTTTTGTATTTAGTATAAATAATAGGCACCAAGACACATACGAGTGCGCACACACATGCACACACCCCCCCCCCTCTCTCTCTCTCTCTCTCTCTCTCTCTGTTCTCTCTCTCTCTGTCTCTTTCTCTCTCTCTCTGTCTCTCTCTTCCCTCCCTGCCTCCCTCCCTCCCGTTAACACAATCAAAAACCATGTATCTTGTTGCTAAGATAATCAGATTTTCTTTTATCTCCTTACATTTGAAACACCCAGGTTCTGTAACAATATACCAACTGTGCCTTCATTTGATTGTGGAATTGTGAAAGAGACCTGTGCTAGAAGTGCTGTCGCCCCAGCCGCCAGCATCGTAGCTACCAGCATCACCCCCTTTTGAGGAAGGTCTGTGACATAACATCACGGAGAACACTGTGACAGCAATGACCCAGAAGTGGAAGCTAGCACAGCGGGACTGTCTAGACTACTGCAGAGTGCAATAGCTTCAGTACTACAGTATGCACACCCAGGTGAGTGTTCTAGACTAACTACAGAGTTGCAATAGCTTCAGTACATACAGTATGCACACCCAGGTTAGTGTTCTAGACTACTACAGAGTGCATTAGAGCTTCAGTACTACAGTATGCACACCCAGGTGAGTGTTTCTAGACTACAACATAGTGCAATACACTTCAGCTTCAGTACTACAGGTTATGTTCTACACCCAGGTTCAATAGCTTCAGTGTTGTCTAGGTTCTAAGTACTACAGAGTGCAATAGCTTCAGTACTACAGTATGCACACCCCAGGTTAGTGTTGACTAGACTACTACAGAGTGCAATAGCTTCAGTACTACAGTATGCACTCCATCCGGTTAGTGTTCTAGACTCTATCAGTGCTTCAGTACTAGACTTAGTGTGTTGATAGACTACTAGAGTGCAATAGCTTCAGTACTACGTATGTATGCACACCCAAGGGTTAGTGTTCTAGTACTACTACAGAGTGCAATTAGCTTCAGTACTACAGTATGCACACCCAGTGTTTAGTGTATAGACACTAAGAGTGCAATAGAAATCAGTACTACAGTATGCACACCGGTTAGTGTTCTAGACTACAACAAGTCAATAGTTCAGTATCGTTGCCACCCGGTTGTGTTCTAACTATACAGAGTCAATCTTGTAC